GACACTCCCTAAAGAGGGAGCCAAGGCCGGGCCACCACTTGGACAAGGCCCGGGCCGGGAGAATACCGGCTAATCTTTAACTAACTAACTAACATTAAAAAAAATAACATTACACACACATAGCTGGGGAGAACTCCAGTATATCTAAAACTGATTACACTTACTGCTATGGAAATGTCACTAAATTTTTTGGGTTATCCTAGGTTCTCCACACATATGCTGCTATGTATGATAATGTAACTGTGTATACCTGAATAAACTTACTTACCTCGGAAACAGGTGGTATAACCCTTGTGGTTTAGCGCTTCTTTGATTATAATAATAATCGGAAACAAGTGTGACTTTAACAGTGGGTCATAATGTCCTTTCAATGCCCACTTCAGCTCCCCAACTCACACATCTGGACCTTAAATTATGTTCTTGATAATACATTCTAATGCCTCCCTCACAGGACAGTAAAATACTATTGGCCAATACATAAATACATTACCTGTAGTGAGATTTAATTCAGTGGGAGACGTACATTACATAGTTCATACATTTGGCGGGTAATGTAGGTTCCAGAGCAACAACTTACGTTATCATTCATATCATCATTATTTTGATAGTTTCACTTTGTATCTAAACTCTTCAAGATACACGTTAAATTCACTTATTATATAAGACACTATATTTGCCGATACTGTTTCTATTAACTTAGATTAAATAAGATTAATTCTCCACGAATCCCTGATCCGATCTGCTGTCCTCTGCCATTTTCGTTGCTTCTGTTTTGTTTACCAACACATCTTTTCAATTAATTTAATAACACTTCCATTTCCCATTTTCATTACTGAAATACTAATTTCCTCTAAATTATAACATTTTCACCCTACTAATTCAACTCCTTACAGAACAAAAGGAAATAATGCAGAATATGTTGCTTCACAGAACATCTTTTTAATCACTGGAGATAAACACCTACACAATTTCAGATAACGTTATTATCCTCATCAATTCTCACACACAAATCCCAGGAAAATTATCAAAATTTTCCACAGGTTAGGTTGTTTGGTGGATGTTAATGGGAAGTATAAAAGTAGCGTAAGAAAAACCTGACAGTTTTCCCTCAGTGTAATTCTTCAGGTATTATGGATGGTACCGGCAAAACTACTAAATTTTTAAGGGGGTGGAGGGGTAAGCCAGCGGAAGGCCTCGGTCAGATGACCAAAACCTCCAGCAGCGGGTCATCATATGACTAATATCCACATCAGGAAACACTTGTCAAAAATCAGGCATGTTTTATTAATGTAACTAATATTCATATATTAGTTATGATTATTAGTAAAGTACTCCATTTTATATTTCTATTTGTTTCCAGTTTCTGCAGCCCATCATCCTGCCCTATATATTCTCTTCATGAGATTTACTATCTTCTTTTGGACATTTGTAATCAGATTTACTTTTTTTTTTTTGCTGGGAGAGAGAATCACGAAGAACAGGAGTATTTTGCATATCAAAAGAGCTAGACTCTTGCATGGCTGAGCTGGTAGACACTGTGTCTATAAACATAACTACTTGGTAATACAAAAAACATTCATCTGACATATCTGATAGCTGGAAATCACTTGAGTCTGATGAATTTGTTTGATGCATCTGGCAATTTACTTACAGATGATGTTGCAACAGTCGTGTAGCGTGAATTAAAACAATTTGCAGATGCTTCATGGGATGCCTCTTATAAGTATGTTAGAACGATCTGCTGGTTTATGGCTGTACCCCAAGGGCTTTCAGTTGTTGCCAGAACTTTATATTATTTTTCTTGTATATTTCAATACTAAATTTATTGTGCCTTACCTTAGCCCACTGTAAATCTCTCTACAATTACCCTATGAAATTCGTGGAGTGCTGTATCATCTTTTTCATTTAACCTCAACTTTCTCAACAATTTATCTCTGATGTCAAGGATTCTAGAGAAAGCAGTGTTTTGTAAAGCAGTTAAGTATCTTAATGACAAAAAACAATCTCCATAGTTACCAATCGAGTTTCGGAAGATCTTACTCGACTAGTATCTCTTTAATAATAAACTACCTGAAATCTCAAATGTAGTTAGGGAATTTCATAGGTATGGTGAACCCAGACCTGCAAAAGGCATTCAATACAGTTGATCATAATATATTGTGTAAGAGACTACATGCTGTCAGCATAGACTCTGTAAATTGGTTTAAGTCTTACCTGAGCAACATGAAAAAAATGCCAAAACCAATAATACAGGATTAAAACCCCTGTCGACAATGTGTGGGGTTCCCAAGGTAGTATCCTGGGTTCCTTACTATTTTTATGTGTATGATATGCCCTTCATTGTAAAGTGTAAGCTTCTGTTGTATGCAGATAACAGTGCTCTGATAATCTCAGGTAAAGACCCACAGGATATAATTATCACTGGAACTAGAAACCTGCAGCAAATGGTTAGCAGGCAACAGATTTTTGCAACGCCATACTCTTTAGCACGAAAGTAAATTGAGAAAAGTGAATACTTTTAATGTACAGAGTAATGGGGAATCCATCACTTCAGTACCTTCATTGAAATATATGAGAATTCCCTTTGACCAAGACAGGAGAATTGATAAGAGAACAATGTAGTAAAAAAAAGGAAATGCCGGGCTAGAGTTCCTCTACAGACAGACACTGCGTCTATTTAATGAGGTTCTTCATGGTACACTGCTCTAACAAAAAAAATAAAATGTGAAAGGCGGGTTGCAAATCACCCAAAACAAAAATGGTGAAAATCATCCTCTGCCTGGGTTCAAGAGAGCATGTAAGCCAGGGAGAATTACAACTCTGCACTCTGCCCCGGGCTCAGAAACCCCTTTCACGTGCCTTAAATATTCTATGGAGAGGGAGCATAAACACAGAGGTCATCCCGCAGTCACTAAAAACAACGGATATAGCCTCACTCCACAAAGATGGCAGTAATACAACTGTAAAGATTTACAGACCGATAGTACTAATGCCCCACATAATAAAAATCTTCGAAAGGATTCTAAGAAGCAAGTACACAACAGTTGCACAACCAAGGGTTAACTTGGTTTTAGAGCAGGTCGCTCCTGTCTCTCATAACTACGGGACCACTATGACATGATCTTGGACGCACTGGAGGACAAATAAAATACAGACTTTGCGGAGGCCTTCGACAAGTGCGATCATGGTGTAATAGAACACAAAATGCGTGATAAAGGAATAACAATAAATAGAATACAAAAAGTAATAATAAACAGTAAAGTCAGAGGCAGCTCTGTTCCACAAGGTACTCGCTCCCATCCTTATCCTCATCCTCATATCTGATATAGACAGGAATGTAAGCCACAGCACCGTGTCCTCTGCTGACGATACCAGAATTTGCATGACTTGTCATCCATCGAGTACACTGCAAAATCTTCAAAGCGGACATTAATCAAATCTTTAAATGGGCCTCAGAAAACAATATCAAGTTCAATGAAGACAAAATTCAATTGTTCTGCTATGGAAAATTTGAGGAAACATAATTAATTAACTACTATTGGTAATAATGTTTAATATTGTAATTATTAGTTTAATGTTAGGTCTAGCTTTTTTGTGGGAGTGATAGGGAGTGGGCATCGAGGGAGTGACAGTTTGGCGACCTACTGTGACTAAGTTCCACTTACCTCACCCAAATTACTTGCAAGTAATTTCCCACATAAAAAAAAAATCATATTATGTTTTGAAAATCCTAGAGGGGCTAATTCCAAATCCGCCCACGGAAATCACTCCTTGGCAGGCGGTGCAACATTCCCCCAATGGGAAGCAGGAGCACCATAAGTACACTAAGAGACAACACAGTGTCAGGGGCCCATGATTGTTCAACTGCCTCCCGGTATACATAAGGGGGATTACCAATAGACCCCTGGCTGTCTTCAAGAGCTGGACAGGCACCTAAAGTCAGCCTCTGACCAGCCGGGCTGTGGTTCGCACATCGTTCTACGTGCGGTCAACAGTAACGGCCTGGTTGATCAGGCCCTGATCTACCGAAAGGGGGCGTTGACCCCCGAAACACTCTCCAGGTATATGCTGAATGTTGTAGGTAGAATAAAGCGGCTGTAGTAAAATCATGTTAATAAACTTGCTCACGAGCAGTGTTCAATTATCTTGCTACGAATTTTGTCGAGATTAGGAACCAAAACCAGTATGGTACTAGCAGTACCTACTTATTTCTATTGGGGTCCTTGATGCCACGAGGCCACGGTGCCCCGGTGCCTGGTGGTAAAAGCTCTCGCTTCGTACGGTGAGGGTCCGGGTTCGATTCAGGGAGAAGGGATGGAAACATTGGACGTGTTTCCTTACACCGGTTGTCTGTGTTCACCCATCAATAAAATGGGTACCTGGGTGTTAGTGGACTGGTGTGGGTCGCATCCTGGGACAAAACTGACCTAATTTGCCCAAAATGCTCAGCATAACAAGCGGCTTTCTATATAGTAATATGTCATTGATGTCAGCCATGGTCTGTATACCTTGTACATGTAAATAAAATTATTATTATTATTATTATTATTATTATTATTATTATTATTATTATTATTATTATTATTATTATTATTATTATTATTATTATTATTATTATTATTCCTTGAATCTTGAATGCTTTCCATTTTCACCAGGTGCTGTATAAGCGCTTGGTTTAAATAATAAGATATTAAGTAAGTTTATTTAGGCACAAGTATACATAAGTACATTTATCATACATAGTGTAAATTACCTAGGATAACACCCCCCCCAAAAAATCAAGTGACATTGGGGGTCCTTAAAGTCACCAAGAACCCCAATAGAAATAAGTCACTATAACTTTTTTGGGTTATCCTAGGTAATTTACACTGTGCATGATAATTATACTTATGTGTACCTGTGCCTAAATAAACTTACTTAAGGCCCAAGGGTTCAGCGTGGCCGCATGAATGAAAAAAAAAAAGTACTGCGAGGCTCTGGTGGCGGTTGTCTGAACTATGTTTGTTTTGGCGGGGAGTCACAGCTGATCCTCAGTCCCTGGCACCTCACTCCTGGCACTCCTCCTGGCACCTCACTACCCCCTGGCACTCCTCCTGGCTCAGTATTGTTTCCAGAGTTTATTATCTCACATTGTGTTGGTTATAACAACTGTGTTAAGAGTATTGTTGTCAAGGTCCACTATGGAAATTAGTCACTTCGTCTGACTTTCTTGGGTTATCCTGGGATTACGTTTATTCAGGTACATATAAATACACTTACATAAATTATCATACATAGCAGCATATGTGTAGATTACCTTGGATAACCAGAAAAAAGTCAATGTAACTTATTTCCATTGGGGTCCTGTCTAATGTAAAATTTACATATGACCCTTGTGGGTTTAGTGTTTTGCTCTGATTGGAATAATAATAATACATAATGTATATATATATATGTATATATATATTATATATATATATATATTATATATATATATATATATTATTATATATAATATATTATATATATATATATATATATATATATTATATTTATATATATATATATAATATATATTATAATATATAATATATATATATATATTATATATATATATATTATATATATATATATATTATATATATATATTAATATATATATATATTAGTTGTAGTTGTGTACCTCCAAGATTATTGTAAAAAATTTGAAAATATGCTTAAAAAACATAAATTAGAACTTTATTCAGTTTTTTAATAAGTAAAATTTTTACTTGCATCACAGTATTAAACTTTACTTACCAACAGATTGGGTATGAGATGCATAATAAAACTATTAACCCAACTCATTAACCCCAATGGAAATAAGTCAATGACTTTTGGGGCTAGTATGGGTAAATTATGCATGTGTTATTATGTAAAAATACCACAGTGAAAATAGGAAATAAAACCTGAGTGCCTTCATGTGCTTAAACATATTCCTCTGAAGATGTGTGTGTAAACACATGAATGCGCTCAGGTTTTATTTTGTATTGCCACCGTGGTATTTTTACGTATTTGTAATCATGCGTTTTATTGCCATTTCTTCCATATGTTACTATATATGATAATTGTACTTGTGTACCTGTACCTAAATAAACGTGCCCAAGGGTTATCCTAGGTAATCTACACATATGCTTCTATGTATGATAATTTATGTAACTATTTATGTACACCTGTACCTGAATAAACTTTCTAAACTCACTAACCATCAGGTTTAATAATCCAGGATAAGCCAAGCAGTGTGGCTTGGTAGGCAATGTTCTTGTCTCACACACTACGTGTCAGTAGTTCATTCCTCGGCCGGATGGAAATGTTGGGTGTGTTCCCTTACACCTGTTGCCCGTTTGCCTTGCAGTAAGTAGGTACCTGGGTATTAGTTGATTGGTGTGGGTCACATCCTGAGGGACAAGATATAAAGACCACAGTGGAAGTAAGACAGCCCTCAATGGCACACTGACTTTCTTAGATTATTCTGGGTGGCTAACAATCCAGGGTTAAAAATCTCAACAAATCTTATCTTATCTTCTCCTTTGATCCTCATCCCCTGGACCTCTGGAGGGAGGTTTCTTGATGCTTGTGAAGTGCTCTTGATAAAAAGGAAATAGAACTGCTTATCTTCCTTGGATCAAACCTAGTTGCCTCCCATTCCTTGGGTGGTCTACAACTGCTGTCTGTTTAGCTTTCCCATAAATATATTAATCTCTGCTAGGGTGTGCCCCAGGATAGTCTGGTAGCATTAAAGTATACCTGGAGAGGGTTTCAGGGATCAGTGCTCCCATGCCCCAGTCTGTGACCAGGCCTCGTACTGGATAAGGGCCCCATGGCCTTATCCACTACTAATTAATTAAAGTACTTAATTAATGCTTCTCATTCCCCCCAGGTGCTGTGTGGCTCATATGGGCTTAGCACTCCACTGTGAATATAATAATATCACTGCTAGGTGAACAGAGGCAGCAGGTGTCAGTAGTGGTGCATTACCTTTGTTAGATTTTACTGAGTTATCATAGATTCGACCTACATATTGTACTACTTTGAGTTCCCACAAAAACTTCGGTATGCCGTATACAGTAAGTAAAAACTTAATGGAAGATTTTGGACCAGCAGTTGGATGCTCAAATAATATAAGCAGCGGTTGACCTGGCAAATATTTGAGGAGTGCTGCATTGCCAGATATGTCGTGGTCGTTCATTTTCGTTTTGCTTATTTGTGGGTAAATATCATTTTGTTTTTAGGTTTTTCTACTGTGGCCAAAAAAAAAAAAAATAAACTGGTTGCTGCCAGACCACTGCATTAATAACATGCAGCTGCCATAGTTAACTTTGCTCAGTCTTGCATACAGTCATTGAAGATGTGCTTTCATAGGATTATATAACTTAACCAATAATTTGGTCAGTACTAGACTGCACTGTTAATTGCATTTAACAAACTGTTGGCTGCCAGCCCAATAGATACTTAAAATATATAGTTTTCAAGAATATTGGGACTGGCTGAAATTGCATTTTAATTCGGCAGATGGCACTCAATTTTGTCATTGCTTAAATGGATTTTTAAAAAAAAATGACTAGCTGTGATCTCATTAATATTTTCATTAATTTGCAGGATTATAAGAAAAAGCTGAGATGTCTCTTGTGGCAGATGTTGTAGCATCAATTAGTAAGTATCCTAACTGAGATTCATGCAAACATTGAGAAAGTAAGAGACAGTAGGTAAATTAAAAGTTGGGGGGGGAGGGGAAGAAATAGAGATGTGTATTGGATTAAAAATAAAATGCTGAATGCAGGTCTACCTACTTAGAATCTAGCAAGAGGGCATTCTGGGGGTAAACACCCCCACAGCTCAGTTGTTACCTTTGATATACCTTTGAAGAGTTTCAAGAGTTTCACTACTCTCGGAGCCCGGCCATGGGCTAGGCGCGTCAAACAGCCTGTTGCTGCTGCCCCACAGATCAGGCCTGCCTGGTAAATCAGGTTCTTATCATCCAGACTGTTACTGCTGGCTGCATGTAGTTCATCATATGAATCACAGCCCAGCTGATTGGGTACTGACTTTAAGTATCTGACCAGCTTCTTCTTGAAGGCAGCCAGGGGTCTGTTGGTAATTTCCCTTATTCTTAAAGTTGGTGCATTTGTTCAGTGTATGCATGAAAGAAAGGAAGATACTTAAGGATTAGCAAAGAGCATGTTTAGTGCTTTGTGTATGGGAAAATGAAGACGAGAGATTTTAAGAATTATAGAGGAATAAGTTTGTCAAGCATATGAATAAATCCCGTCATTCTGAGTGCAAAGATGTGTAGGTCTGTTGAGCATATGAATAAATCTTGTCATTCTGAGTGCAAAGATGTGTAGGTCTGTTGAGCATATGAATAAATCCTGTCATTCTGAGCACAAAAACTTGTAAATCTTCACTCTTTCTGATTTATTTTTATGTCTTTACTTCTGCATTTTTAGTATTTTTTGGATTGTTTACTTCAAATTGCCAGCCATCCACTTACCCAAAGACTAGTTGAGTCATTGTACTAAAGGAGAGATGGCTTGAGCTGCTATTGTTTTGGTTTTTAACTGCACTTTGCCACACTAGTCAGTCGATGCTCCCTCTCTTTTTTACACTTTGCTGACACAGCTTTTGTCTACACTTTAGGAGGTGATGATAACTTTCTTCAGGTTATCAAACATGAAGAGTCATTAACCCAGGTTTTATTCAGCCCTTCCGGTCCTCCTCCAGGTTACGACCCACATCAGCCAACTGCCTTAGGTACCGTACCTGTTTACTGATAAGTGAACATGGGCAGCATGTGGAAGGAGACTAACCTATACATCTCATTACATCTGGGAATCAAACCAGGGTCCTGAGCTACAATGCACATACTAATGAACTGAAGCACTCATGTGGCACACACTTATCACTATTTTAGAGAGATTTCAAACTTAAATACGTTAAGTTTTCTTTAGTAATTTTACACATGTAGTTCAAGCAAGGGACTGTGTTAAGTGAGATATACATGCATAGGCTGTAAAGAAGCTTTAAGCCCTTGCAGTTTTGCAGGTGCCAGTAACAGTGTTGGATCTTTTGGTGCCATAGTGAAGACAGGATGTCTGGAGAAGGGTATTAAGGAAGTTTTGAGAGACAAGAGCTTGAGCATTAAGGAGGTATGAGTGAGCATATTAGACTGAAGAGTGTAGAAGAGTGCTTTTTGGAATTTAATGTAAACATTATAATACCTATTTAAGGGTTCAAGAAAATGGGTTAGCTGAACTCGAGTTTTTAATGGGGTAAGTGCAGTGTATATACATTAAAAATTGGGTGGGATTGTTGCAGTTTGGAGAACCCTCATTGGATTGTGATTAAGGATGGGACCATACCAAAATTTTTGTTGATAACATTACTTAATTTTAGGCTGATACTGAAACCACACAAATTAACCAATACCCACTGATACCAATACTGTGAACATCCCTAACTGTGATGTTTGTCTGGTAGACAGCTAGGGAATAAGTGAGGGGTTACATAGTTTGTTGTTTTCTTTGAGGAAAAGTGTGTGATGTGTTAAATATATATGCACTTGGAATTATTTTTTTTTTATATTTTATTTAAAACATGACATTACAAAAATATAATATATAAAACTCATTTAAGGCTATAAATTAACACAATCCTACCTACAGCTAACATTACACACCACACTTACAACTCCGTGTGGGTACACCCCCCCCCCTCCCTGCTCCCTCATCCTATCACTTAACCCAAACCTGTTGGAGCTACCCAACAGAATTACATGATATGAACAACACTTTTATATACACATCCCTCGAAATGGTACTTAATAATCGACTACAGACCATGCAATTCATTGCACTGAACATATTATACAGACATATTACACCCCCCCCCCCCCCCCGTGGTAATCCAACCACCCCACTATTTACAACCTAACATACTATAAACAATGAATGTTGCCTAATCTAATGTCACACAGCAATGATCAAAACATTAATTTATGTAATTGTCCTAATGGTTCAGTTACATAACAATATGTATTACACAACATTGGTGATATAGAAAAGTCACAAAGACATACAAAATGACTACAAAGCCATAGGTATAAACTTAGTCTCAAAAATCCAACACATGTAAGCTTCTACACATTTAAACATGCAATTCTAGTGTTAAAAACAATAACACAGCTTCAACTATGACATTCAAGCTCTATACAGCTTATATGGACATAACATAGTGCTATTGACAACAGTACAACATAAAATATAACCATGACATAAGTAACACATAAAGACTGTGCCTAGCACGCACCTAACCACAAAAACCTATAACACCACTGTTGCCCAACTTTATTTACACTATCTGACGTACATTAAACTCTTTACTCTCAAAACAAAACTGAAAATTGCAGGTCACCAGTGACGAACAATAATGCACAGACATTAATACAAACATATCACAGCATATCTCTGGACACCGTGCATGATCACAGCATCAACACTATGCAGTGCAAGGCACCTAGAAAACAAGTTGGAGCAAATACATGCAATTATTATAGCAAATCTCCAAATTACAATGTCTTTACCGTAAATCAATATTACCACACACAATATGTATAATAAGTGTATAGTCCATGTCACACAAAAAACTGGCCAGCTCCACAGGTGCTAGCACCCGTGGTCCACATATTATTCACTCACGCATCACTCATCCAACACTCACGCAAACATTTGTTGTCATCCATTACCAGGGAGGCGACCCTGTTTTCACCCATGACTTCCCTACCCCAGCAACACTTTCCAATCATAACCCTCCCCTCCCTCGTATATTACAATCTAATAAACCTGTAACGTAAGTTGCCTATATCCCTCTGAAAAATCCTTCACCCACCTCCTCCCATAAATTTCCGTAATTTCTACATAACCGTTTTATAGAACGTTACCGCTAACACCCTCCTCTTCACCTCAGTAACCTGTTTCCCCCGCAATCCCCACACTATATAGATATAATCTGCCATAATGTATCCACAGCTCTGATTACACTTTCCTCCCAACCCCCCACGTTGAGACTTAATGCTCTCAATACATAAATTCCTTTACCTCCTATCCTATTTATCACCCTATTTAACCACCCCTTGACACTTCCTCATTCCATCACAAAAATATACTACATGAAAAGCCGACTCCTCCCCACCACATATCCCACACTCCCCCCCGACTCGTCTATCCGTAGAACCACACCCGACGGTAAAAATGCCGTGCAGAAAACGATACATTACATCCCGAACACGAGGTTGCAACCTCATCCTACTCAACCTATTCCATATACTTCCCCATGCATACATGGGGAACATTCCCTCTACAGGCGCTAAAAACCCTCCCGGCTAACAATCTACACAACTACCTATTTTAACCTTTGCTGGCTCTCGATCCCACGCCATAGCCCTCAAAACAGTTTCTCACACTCATGCAACTCAACTCCTGTATACATCCGTTGCAATCTGTTATGGATCCTGGCCAAACCCCCCCCCCCCACACTTTCCCTCATCACCTCCCTTTTAATGAAGACACATTTGACCCTCTGCTTTAAGTCCAGCAATCCCAGCCCCCCTTTACTTACAGGTAACATTACCACATCCCTTTTAATCCAATCACAGCTCGAACCCCACAAGAATTTAAAAACCTTCCTAAGTATGTTCGTTATTGCTGGCCCAGTTAATGGGAACACGGCTGCCACGTGCCATACTTTGCTATACAGTAAGATATTAATAACAATGGCACGCTGCACAAGGGTCAAATGATAAGGTCGCAATGCACCAAGCGTCCCTGATCCTTTTACCATCCTAAGCGAGTTTTCCATGCGTGCCACAGTTAAATCGTCTGCATAAATAAGACCGCAAATTTTTAACGAATTCACCTGCCTCCTCACAACTGCACTACCCCAATCAACCCTACCTGCCCAAGCTCCTAACCCCATGACCATGGATTTATCTGAATTTATCCTCATACCAGTTGCCCCTGCGAACATTTGTACTACCCCGTCTAATGTGTCCATTGACATCCCCTCCCTGATCAGAACAGTTGTATCATCACATACCCAATTAAAACTGGCCAAACCCTCGCAACCTCAACACCTGGTCCCTCTACGTGACACATACGCTGCTCCATCAATCTATAAAAGGGGTCCTGTACGACGCAAACAATAATTGTGACATAGACACCCCTGCCATAAGTCCCCTACCCATTACAATCTTCCCACCCAATCGACTATTAATCTGTACCCTCGCCATTGCACCTCCATACAACGCCTCAACCCAACCCACTATTTCTTCCCCAAACCCCTGACCCTGAGGATGGCTTTCAATGCTTTCCGATCCACTCTATCGTATGCCCCTTGCCAATCGAGCGCCACCAAACCTCCCTCCCTCCCCCCCCCCTTTTGCCTCCACGAAATCCCTAAGTAACCATGCCCCTCCACCATAGACCTCCCTGGCAAACCAAACTGAGTTTTTGATACTACCCGCCCCACCACACACTTGACCCGATTTCCCAAAATTTTCGCAAACAATTTATAATCTGCGCATAAACAACGAGATCGCCCGGTAATCCGAAGCGTTATGCTGCCCCTTACCCTTCGGTACCAATACAACGACAGCCGTTGCCTGCTTCTCACCCAGCTCACCTCTCTCCTTCATGCAATTTAATAACCTAACCAGAAAATGCCTCAATAATTCCCAATGCTGCTGATAAAACTCTGCCGGGAGTCCATCAATTCCCGGTGCTTTGCCCTTTCGCATTCCACTTAAAGCCCTCCATATTTTCCCCTCAGTTATTTCCCCACCCAGTGCTTCCCTATCACTGTTACGCAACTGACATACCACACTCCCACGCACCTGTTCTAAAACCCCATCCTCTACCATTTCTTGTTGCCAGTACTTCTCATACCACTTGTCAGCAAACGCCCCCATTCCTTCCGTAGCTTGTATGACCTGCCCCTCCCTGTACCCTCCTATCGACTCATGAACCTCCAACCATGGAATAGTCATTGCCTGCTGTCTTTGTTTCTGCCTACGCAATACGCACGATGAAGGTCTATCGCCCCATAGCACCTCTTCCACCCCCGCCTGTACCCGCACCGCTTGGAACCTCTCATCCTGTACCTCATGCAGCCTCCCTTTAATTACCATAATATCATCCATTGGATAAGTGCCCGCCACCGCCCCCCTCGCATAGCAACTCCGTAATCTATCCTCCAAATAGTTAGCAAGCCCATATTTTAAAGAATTGATACGTTTCCCTTCCTTTACGTAATATTGCTTAATCCGTTCTTTAGCCACACCATCCCACCACATCACCACATCCTCTACCCCATTTATCTCTGCACGTAACCCCTCCCACAGCGTTGCAAATCCCTCTATCCCGTCCTCATCACCTAACACACTTGTATTTAATTTCCAATAACCCCCAGATATACCTGCTAGTGATTCCCACGCCACCTCTGCTACTACCGCCCGATGATCCGAATAAGCTACTTCTATTGTACGGAAAAATGTCAACCCAACCTCTTGAGATATGTACAGCCTATCCAACCTAGCAGCGTAACCCCGTCTTACAAAAGTGTGCTCTACCTCCCACGCCCCTCCTCCAACCGCATCCCGCAACTGAATATCCCTCAAAAGATCTCGCAAGGCTGCCGACACGTGCCCCGCCCCTTTTGGTTCCACGTCAGCCCTCCTAATAACGCAGTTCCAGTCCCCACCAACGACAGCCACATAAAAAATCCCTTTTTACCCTCACATCATTTTCTGCTGGTGCATACACACTTACAAAAGATACCCTCTGCCCCATCCACGTGCAATACTCTTCCCCTCCCTCCCCCTACTTCTTAGCAACACAAACGGGCTTGCCTCCTGATCAAATACCCACACCACCTTTCAGACATGCAGTGCAGAGTCATGACCTGAAACCCCTCCACCCTCGAGCACTCTTCCCTCCTTGAAATTGTGTTCTTGCAGGAACACTACATCCACCCTATATTTATACAGAAACATTCGAAACCATTCCTTCTTCACACTATTACACAGTCCATTTACGTTCACAGTCATACACCTAAGGCCTCTTTATAGTTTCCAACCCTTCCTCCTCTCTTCATCCCAGGGCCTCCTGCCCCAGAGCCAGCACAAGGCTTCACACCATCAACCTCCCCCCCCCCTTTTTTGCGATGCCTCTTATCGTGACTACTTCGACATTGCTCTTCCTTCCTCCCAGACCTCTGCGCCGGCGTCAGGACATCATCTGAGTCTGACGCCGCCGCTCTCTTCTCGTGATGCCTCTACATCCATGTTATCTTCTGAGGTTCCCTCACGATGTACCTCAACCTCCACCACGCCTCGTTCCACAGCACACGGCGACAACTCACTCTTACTAGTTGGCCCGTCAACCCTGCTATGGTTTTTATCATTACATTCCTCTACAGGCAACGCCGTGCCTCTCACCAGCTCAGGAACAACATCCTCTGCAGGCGGCGTCAATGTCCTTAACACTTCCTGAAGCTCTTCCTCTAGAGCCTGCACCTCCTCCTGCACTTGCACTTCTGTACTTTTCCCTTGTCTAGTAACAGATCCTTTTACATCACAGCTTACCTCACACATGCCAGTCTCCTCTTTGGAATCCTCCACCTCTTCACTCCACAAGCGCCCAAGCCCTTGCTTTCGCGTGGGGCTCTCAACAGCTATCACGCTGGTAACTGGTGCTTCACCAGTTTGTGCTGGCGCCCTTCTCAGCTTCACGCACTCTGCCGCCATATGGTCGTACACCCCACATATTCTGCACGTACATCTCTGTCCGGCATACGATACCATAACTTGCGTCCTGAAGTCCTCCAACACAACGTAAGATGGTATGGGATGTCTCAGAGTCATCTTCAGGGAAAAGGTACCCTCCGGATGGCCCATGTAAGCACCTGCCGTCCACTTGCCCTTTTGTGCCAGATGTACGGTTCCATATGTCTCAAAAACACTCCTGATGTAAGCCTCATCTGCCTCAAATGGGACATTACGTATCTTAACCCATGTAAAGTGGCGAGATACGTCGATCAAACGCACCTTCACAGCTGGAGTAGCGTCAAGACTCACGTCTTGGAATCTCGTCACCAAAGACTCGTACACGGACGTGGAATTCAGTTTGACGAAGATTCTGTAAGCCCCATTCAGGGCTACACCATACACCTCATCGTCCTGGATTCCATAGGTCTCCCTAATGATTGTTGGGAGTAAGACTTGCGCTGAAGAGGGTGAAATCGCCCCACGAAGCAGCTCAATACCAATGGTATTTACGCGCCTCCTCACACTTAGCGCCATGTTGATACAAGGTAGCTCGCCTGAAAACAGCAGAGGGGTGCAGAGCACAACCGCACTCTACCGTGGTCAGGCAGCGAATGTTGACTTTTAGTTTGTAAGATTGATACTTGGACTATTAAAGGTAAAGTTTTGTTGTCATGTTCCTAGCACCCATTCTACAAAAACCGATCCATTGGGCTGTTTGTGTTACTTAATACCTGATTTGACTTAGGTACAGTGGTTTATTGTTAAAAATTAGGGGCTATCAACTTGTAATCATTCAATTTCATAAACATATAGTGTAAGTATATTTTGGGTTAAAAATCCTGCCTTACACTGATTATTAGAACAAATGAAAATGAGGGGACTGAGCAAATCTCCTCTCAGTGATATCATATAAAATGACTAATTGGTTAGCAGGATATTTTGTATTTCATAATTTAATTTCTCTTTTACAATACGATTGTTATATGCAATAGTGTACAGTAATTATATTGTTAGATATTAAATGGGTAGGCTATGCATTTTTCGTCTACATACATCGGCAAAACTGGATTTCTTGCTGCTGTGAACATTGAAGGATGAACCAAGTTTTGCATAACTAAAGTAGTTTTATAATTCCAGTTTTGCTGGGTTTTAATTGATAATGAAGTTTATGTACAGCTAATGCATGATATGCTCACATGAACACATGCACGCATGTTATTCCCATAATATATAATGCAATTCTTTATTTGAGGGAGCAGAAGTGGACGAGATAAAACAGTCAAGGGAGTCGATGGACAACTGGAGGAGTTGGCAAAGCGAGCAGAAGAGGCACGTGAAGGGGTACTCCATGCTTTGGGATCACGCTACATAAAGCTAACTAACTCTTTATATGATACCAGTCATCTCCAAGAAAGTGTTAGTGCTGCCTTACATGATCTTACAAGTCTTCATGACTCTATAGATGAAGAGGTAAAGAAAAAATAGCTTATATTGATGAGATTAAAGGAAATGTACCATATCGCTGTGATCTTTATTGGTAAATATAATTTAAATTTGGTATCAAGTATTTTTTGTAAATCTGTTAATTTGTCATGTGATTTATATTTTGATGACATGATTCTCAGGTGGCTAATGGTGTTAAAGGCAGTATTGGTGAGTTTGGAGCATTGGTTCGCCGGTGGAGAGAAGTTCTTGTAGGATTAGAAGCTGCTAGCACTCTTCTTAAAATTCATACGCTTTTGGATGAAGCTCACCAAGCTCAACTTAAACATGAATTTCTCACAACTGCAGAAAATCTGGCAAAGGTGTGATAAAATCATGAATGTCTGAAAATTAACAATGTTTTGTATCCTATATCTTTGTTGAAAGTGTTCTGCATAATACAGTATTATAGTAAAGTTTTTATTGATTACAGTTGTAGATGAATGGTTACATGAATTGATTACAGTATCTGCAGCAAGCTGAACAGCAGTAAATTAAATGTTTATGTATTTTGCAAAGCACTAAACTCATATGGACCATTCAGTGATTTTATTATATAGTATGGGTATTTTTTTTTTTTTTTAACAAGTTGGCCGTCTCCCACTGAAGCAGGGTGACCCAAAAAGAAAGAAAATCCTCAAAAAGAAAATGCTTTCATCATCATTCAACACTTTTACCTCACTCACACATAATCACTGTTTTTGCAGAGGTGCTCAGAATACAACAGTTCAGAAGCATATACGTATAAAGATACACAATGTATCCCTCCAAACTGCCAATATCCCAAACCCTTCCTTTAAAGTGCAGGCATTGTACTTCCCATTTCCAGGACTCAAGTCCGTCTATATAAAAATGACCAGTTTTCCCTGAATCCCTTCACTAAGTATTACCCTGCTCGTGCTCCAACAGCTTGTCAGGTCCCAAATACCATTTGTTTCCATTCACTCCTATCTAACATGCTCATGCACACTTGCTGGAAGTCCAAGCCCCTCACCCACAAAACCTCCTTTACCCCCTCCCTCCAACCTTTTCAAGGACGACCCCTACCCCACCTTCCTTCCCCTACAGATTTATACTCTCCATGTCATTCTACTTTGATCCATTCTCTCTAAATGGCCAAACCGCCTCAACAACCTCTCTTCAGCCCTCTGACTAATACTTTTATTAACTCCACACCTTCTCCTAATTTCCACACTCCGAATTTTCTGCAAAATATTTACACCACATGTGGCCCTTAGACAGGACATCTCCACTGCCTCCAAACATCTCCTCACTGCAGCATTTACAACCCAAGCTTCACACCCATATAAGAGTGTTGGTACCACTATACTTTCATACATTCCCTTCTTTGCCTCCATAGATAACATTTTTTGTCTCCACATACACCTCAATGCACCAGTCACCTTTTTTCCTTCATCAATTCTATGATTAACCTCGTCCTTCATAAATCCATCCGCTGACACGTGAACTCCCAAATATCTGAAAACATTCACTTCTTCCATACTCCTCCTCTCTAATTTGATATCCAATTTTTCTTTTATCTAAATCATTTGATACCCTCATCACCTTACTCTTTTCTATGTATGTGTATGTTTATATATGTAAGTACGGTATTTATGTATGTACAGTATGTGATGGTATAAGTATACGTATCTTCTTTCAACAAACTGGCTGTATTCCATTGAGGCAGAGTGACCAAAAAAGAAAAACGCAAGTTTTTCTTATGAAATTTTGAAATTTATGTAGGAGAATGGGTTACTAGCCCCTTGCTCCATACGTATATATAACATATTTATATTTTTTGCAGGTTGAAGTTTTATTACGGGAAGCATCAGAAAAGGAGGTGGAAGGGGAGTTAGAAATCTTAGCAACTGTACAGGAAAAAGTAATTGTTCGAAGGACGCAGCTGGTGTACACAATTGGAGAGGTAAGAAATTGCAAATGTGCTTCAGGTATGTAAATGGTCTTGTCTTATAGTTGAGGTTTTATTGCAATATACAGTGCTGTTATATTGCTTGTTTTTTGTATTTGTATTTTGTTCAGAATAACTTAGTGCAATAAAAGAAACACCCCTCCCTCAAGGGAGGTTCCTTAATGCTGTTGAGGGGGCTCTTGATCTTAGGAATTACACCTATGTTCAGATTCCTTGAATTGAATCTGAATACCTTCCATTTCTCCAGGTGCTTCATAACCCCGATGGATTTAGTGCTCCCTATGAATATATTATTTATTATTATTATTAACACATCGGCCATTTCCCACCAAGGCAGAGTGGCCCATCATTCACTCCATCATTGTCTTGCTAGAGGCATGCTTACACTACAGTTGTAAAACTGCAACACTAACACCCCTCCTTTAGAGTGCAGGCACTGTACTTCTCATCTCCAGGACTCAAGTCCGGCCTGCCGGTTTCCCGGAATCTCTTCATAAATGTTACTTTGCTCACACATCAACAGTAAGTGAAGTCATAAAAATCATTTGTCTCCATTCGCTCCTATCTAGCACACTCACGCATGCTTGCTGGAAGTCCAAGGCCCTTGCACACAAAACCTCTTTTACCTCCTCCCTCCAGCGTTTCCTAGGCCGACTCCTAGGTTGGCTTAGGGGCCGGCCAGGGAGTAATAATTGCTGATATTAATAGTGAAAGTGTTTCTTTTTTGGGTCACCCTACCTTGGTGGGTGATGATAACTGTGTTAAAAATATTAATGGTGTAAAAAAGGACCAACTACCTGTATACATGTATGTATATAGTTTTGGAAATCAGTTAAAAAAAATTGCTATAGTACTGCATTCAATTTATAATAATGATATTCTTTTTAACACTCTAGATATCTTCTACCGAGGCTGGTTACCCTGCCTCAGTAGGAGACAAGTAATTTATACAGACTGGGTTATTAGCCCCTGTAATAATAATAATAATAATAATAATAATATATAGTAATTATGTAAAATATCATTTTCATTTATTCGAGTATAGGTTAAGGTTTTTATAAATAAATTTCTCTAGCTTATTGATTGAAGCTTGGCAGATATAGTTGTCCTCCTTTGCTAAAGGTAGGGTTCATGGTGAAATAAGATAGTCAGAATGTTATTGGATTAGACCAATCTATCTTTAGACTTAGCTGAAAGGCAGGTAAATTCATTTATTACTACAAATTATGGCTTTTCTATTTTTTCTCTATAATACGGAATTCTCTGCACACTGCTTAATTTAATGGAGACCCAGGCAGTTTTAAACTTCCATTGAGCTTCCACTCAACGGTAGTACAAGGTCTCGTCTCTCTTGTATAAGAAGCCCACTTCAATACAGTACATACTTGTGACTGGTCTCGAGTTTTCCAACTCCCACACTTTGACCAGGGACCAAGCTTCTCTGGTGCTTGCCTGGTCAACCAGGCTGTTGTTGGCAGCTTACTGGTCCAAATATCCATCACAGCCTGTTAAACTGTCACTTGGCAGAAGTAGTGATCCACTTTTCTTCCAGTTAATTATACCTGCAGTATTTCTGATAGCTGCTAACAACAGGTTGAATAGTCGAGCCTCATACTGTGCCTATGGCTTCTGTACTTTTCATCAAGTTTATTTTACATTTCTACTATATCTCTCACTCCAGTACATTACAGCCACTCCTCACTTTACAAGAGAGTTCCGTTCCTAAGACCACGTCAGTAAACAAATTCGTCGCTAAACAGAGTGTACTATAATGGTAGTGGGTTTGAGTCAACCATCTTTGGTATTGTTTTAATGTCACCTTTGCACCGTTTCTAACATTTTTAGTATATTTTTAAATGTTTATACAGTAGTGTACTGTATATTTTAATATACAGAATAGAGGAAATCAGCTCTAATATACATTATTTAGGTATGCATACTAGTCAGAGAGCCCGTCTTAAATCCAAGTCATTAGTAAACGAGTACGTCTCTAAGTGAGGAGAGGCTGTGTAGTGTATAGGTTTGGAATAGGCCCTCCAGTATATTCCATGTATATATGATCATGTATCTCCTTCCTCTGCTCTAGAGAAAATATATATTCAGTACATATATTTTTTTTTTTTTTGGGTCACCCTGCCTCGGTGGGAGATGGCCGATTTGTTAAAAAAAAAAAGTATTTACATATTTAATATGGTATTTGAAGGCTGGAGGCAGTGGAGATGAAGTGTCTAAAGGCAATGTGCAATGTGAATATAATGCAGAGAATCATAGCTTGAAGATTAGAAGGAGATGTAGGGTTTCTAAAAGTAGTATCCAGAGGGCAGAGGAAAAGTTGTGAGGTGGTTTGAATATTTAGAGAGGATGGAACAAAATAGAATGACTTTGAGGGCACATAAATTTGGAGTGGAAGGAACGCAGAGTAGGTGTCATCTTAGGTAAGGTTGGAGGAAAGGGTAAAGGAGGTTTTGTGTGCAAGGGGTTTGGACTTTCAGCAAGCATGTGTGAGTATGTTAGATAGTAAGTGGAGACGAATGGTTTTTATGATTTGTTGGAGTGTGAGCAAAGTAACATTTATGAAAGGATTCAGAGAAACTGGTTAGCCAGGCTTGAGTCCTGGAGGTAGGAAGTACAGTGGACCCCCGCATAACGATATTTCAATCCAGAAGTCTGTTTGGGTGCCGTTATAGACCGAATTTGTTCCCATAAGAAATATTGTGAATTAGATTAGTCCATTTCAGACCCCTAAAAATACACCTACAAAAGCACTTACAAAAATAAACTTACATAATTGGTCGAGTTGGGAGCTGATCGTTATCCGGGGGTCCACTGTATAGTGCCTGCACTCTGAAGGAGGGGTGTTGATATATTGCAGTTCTTAAACTGTAGTGTAGGCATGCCTCTGGCAAGACTGATAGAATGAATGTTGATGAAAGTGTGTTTTTTTTTTTTTTTGGGTCACCCTGCCTCAATGGGAAATAGTTGATGTGCTAATAAAAAATAGTTACTGTTTTTAATTACAGTGATATTATATAGGTAATAATTTATGTATGTTAACCCATTTTAACCATTTTTTTAGCATGTCAGCCATTTCTTACTGAGGCAGGGTGACCCAAAAAAAGAAAGAAAAAACTTTCATCATTCAACACTTTCACCATCACTTGTACACTGTCTTTGCAGAGGCACTCAGATACAACAGCTTAGATGTCCCTCCAAACTGCCAGTATCCCAAACCCCTCCTTTAAAGTACAGGCATTGTACTTCCCATTTCCAGAACTCAAGTCTGGCTAACTGATTTCCCTGAAAGCCTTCACAAAATATTACCCTGCTCACACTCCAAGATCTTGTCAGGTCCCAAAAACCATTCGTCTCCATTCACTCCTATCTAACACGCTCATGCACGCTTGCTGGAAGTCCAGGCCCCTCACCCACAAAACCTTCTTTACTCCCTCCCTCCAACCTTTTTGAAGATGACCTCTACCCCGCCTTCCTTCCCCCTACAGATTTATACAGTTTCCAAGTCATTCTACTTTGTTCCATTCTCTGTAAATGACCAAACCACCTCAACAACCCCTCTTCAGCCCTCTGACTAGTACTTTTAGTGACTCCACACCACCTACTAATTTCCACACTATGAATTCTCTGCATAATATTTGCACAACACATTGCCCTTAGACAGGACATTTTTGCTGCCTTCAGCCACCTCTTTGCAGTAGCATTGACAACCCATGCTTCACACCCATATAAGAATGTTTGTACCACTTTACTCTCATACATTCCCTTCTTTGCCTCCATGGATAACATTATTTGTGTACACAGATATCTCAGTACACCACTCACCTTTTTTTCTTCATCAGTTCTATGGTTAACCTCATCCTTCATAAACCCATCCTAACAAGTCAACTCCTAAGTATCTGAAAACATTCAATTCTTTCATACTCTCTCCCTCCAGTGTGATATCCAATTTTTCTTTATCTAAATCGTTTGATACCCTCATCACCTTACTATTATTTATGTTCACTTTCAACTTTCTACCTTTACACACTGTGTCATACTAAAAAAATTAGAGGATTTAATAGGCTATTGTGGCTAGGGGCCAGTGAATCCAGAATGAGTCCTCCCTGTCACCCTGCCTCATTGGGATATGGCTGGTTTGTTGAAAAAAAAAAATGAGTTTTATATATTTGAATTCATCTTGTATGACTTTCTATTAACACAGCCTTCACAGATGTTGATACTGTGCAAGATATGTCAGTGTAATAAATGTTTAAAGACATTTTGCCCACCAGGGGCTTTATAAACCTAATACAGTGGACCCTCGACATTCGATACTAATGCATTCCTGAGAGCTATCGAATGTCGAAAATATCGAAAGTCAAATTAATTTTCCCCATAAGAAATAATGGAAATCAAATTAATTTTCCCCATAAGAAATAATGGAAATCAAATTAATCCCTGCAAGACACCCAAAAGTATGAAAAAAAAAAATTTACCACATGAAATATTAAGTTTAATGCAATAGAATAATTACAATAACAACAATAACAATAGAATAATAATAGAATAATTGACACTTACCTTTAATGAAGATCTGGTGATGATTGATGGGATGGGAGGAGGGGAGAGTGTCGAAGTTGTTACTGTTTAGAAGGGGAATCCCCTTCCATTAGGACTTGAGGTAGCAAGTCCTTTTCTGGGGTTACTTCCCTTCTTCTTTTAATGCCACTAGGACCAGCTTGAGAGTCACTGGACCTCTGTCGCCGTTCTTTTAAGATTTGTCTAAAATGGGCCATAACATTGTCATTGTAATAGTCACCAGCATGGCTTGCAATAGCTGTGTTTGGGTGATTTTCATCCATAAAGGTTTGCAGTTCAACCCACTTTGCACACATTTCCTTAATTTTTGAAGTAGGCACAATGGAGTCCAGAACTGGCATAGGCTTCTCAGGGTTAGCCCCAAACCCTTCAAAATCTTTCTTAATTTCCATACTAATTCTCACCCTTTTTACCACAGGGTTGGCACTAGAAGCTTTCTTGGGGCCCATGGTGACTTATTTTGCAGAAACAAGCACCAAAAACAGTGATAATATGGATAATATGGAATGTACTGAATGTATCCTTAGATGCGCGCACACTGGCTGGCTTGTAAACACTGGCACACACGGGGCAGTTCAGGCCACATGTGGACACGTCTCGTATGAATCGTATCGAATGTCGGGTTTTCCATCGAATGTTGAGGCGAAATTTTTGCATTAAAATGCATTGAATGTCAGATTTATCGAATGTCGATGCCATCGAATGTCAGGGATCCACTGTACAAAAACTTTATATAGTGGAACATGATAGGATGTAGTACAGTGGTAGGATTGACATGTAATGAAGACGTAATAGTAGTAATTGCAGTGCCCAAGTAGGTGTGGGCAGTGACATTCCAGTGGACATGTGATTTTACCTGATTACTCTGTCTTGGCATGTTAAGGTTAATTGATTCAAAACTTAAGAGGCATTATTGGTTGCAATAATAAGCAAAGATTCTAGTCATGCATTTCTGGAGTTTGTCTTTTAATCATTTTGTTGTTCCATTTCATGATTTGTCTACTTAAACTTCTATATACAATGTACGCCTTTTTCATGTTCTCTCTCGTACATGCACACTATCTGTGTTCACTGGCTGCTGTCGCTGACACTGCTGCCGTTACTACAGCTGCTGATGCCGTCACCCCCACTGCTGCTGCTTCTGTTTCTGTTACTGCTGCTTCTACTTCTGCTTTATCTTATTCTGCTGCTGGTGCTTCTTCACTCTTCCATATGCCAACTTTACTATCTCTACTACCTTCTGTTTCCCTAAAGTCTCCTTCTGTTGACTAGTGATAAAATCCCTGGTGGGACTTGATCACCAGGTTTAGCACAGGTGTGGCACATGTCTTATTCACCTTGCATTTCATGCTGTTTATGATTGTAGTGTTTCTAATTTTCCATGATACTGCCTTATCAAGTGTGAAAGGCTGTGTTACTGCCGGAACGAAGGTGGAAATTTTCAAGAACCGGTTGGATTGATACTTGCTAGCAGTGCTAGATCAATCATGTTGTGACGGCTTTGTGTGCTTGTGGGGTGCTGGAAGCAAATGTATAGTTGACAAAGCAGTCACAGATGAAGTTTGGCCTAAAGCCAAGTTTCAAGAATACAGATCCTAAAACCATTGATACATATGTCACAGTAATTCAAAATTTTCTTTCATTTGTAGATTTGGGGTGAAACTGTCAAATGGGAGGAAGAGCGTTTAAAAGATGGATCATGTTCAGTGACACTTTTGATTTGCACTAGCGTGAATCAATCATCAGAAGACAGCCTTGAGAAGTTAAAACAAATGCTAGGAGCTTTCTACCTACTGGGTGAACTCCAGCGCAGAATTGTAGGACTTGGCAAGAATCTCATGAAGCATTTTTTTGGGTAAGGTTTATTTTTTTATACCACATAAATACTTTTGTTTCCCACAAAAGTATTTATATGATCATAAGAAAGTAGATACAGTATTGTTAAAACTATTTTCCTTGATAAGTTTTGCCTGATGAATTTTAATAATGGAATAGGAAGAATATGTATTTGTCTAGACCAGGGCTACTCAATTGGTGGCCTGCGGTCCAAATCCGGACCTTCTGAGTGTTCTAGTTGGACCGCGGGCTTCAGGAGAAAGCTTAGTTAAATAACAGCTGTTACCACTTTCAGGATCAGGTGGTACACAAGAGTGGGATTAATACATTATTCTTTCTCAATGGAATGCATACACTGAATGGAATACAGTATTCTGTCATGGCTAAATAGTGATATTTTCTTCCATTCAATGGCAATTCATATAGGTAATTATCACTTATGCAATAAAGTTGACTTTTTTGGCATTTTGGAAAAAGAGTTTTGGTCGCATATGGGCTGGGAAGTCTGGCGACCCTGGTGCAACTTTGAATTTTGGGAAAGGTGCATTTGGGTTTGTAGAAGGTATGATTTTGGATTTTCTCATTTTCTCTTTAGCAAGTTTGATTTTAATTTGCTGTGCCCACCTCTTTTATGAATAATTACGTTGGTGGGGTATTTAGTATTGAATCATGTTGTGATCAAATTCTTCACATCAATGTTTAATCAAATTTGTTAAAAATTTTCCTCATTCTGGTTCTTCCTAATTTATGTAGAGTGAATATAAAGCATATTTTATTTTAATAAATACAGATAAATTTCAGTAATAGATACATATGATAATACAGAGGACAACTGCTTCACTATTATTTTATAGTCTAAATATGACTTACAGTTTTTGGGCTTTTTAATGCTCCAGATATATATTTCCATATCAAATGATATCTTTTACTAAACTAGTTATGTCTTTTTAAAGGAGATGTGGCATGTTCAAAAAGAAGTAAGTTTGATGATGAAAAGCATCAGTTCTAAGCTGTTGCCTCATATGTAGTGAATCAGTGGCCTTAGTGAAGAGCAGTAATATGAAATGCCATTCTTTTTTTTTTTTTTTTTTTTTAACATAATGAAACTTTCTTTCAACACACTGGCTGTATCCCACTGAGGCGGGGTGGCCCAAAATAATAAACGAAAGTTTCTCCTTTTACATTTAGTAATATATACAGGAGAAGGGATTACTAGCTCCTTGCTCCCGGCATTTTAGTCGCCTCTTACAACACGCATGGCTTACGGAGGAAGAATTCTGTTCCACTTCCCCATGGAGAGAAGAGGAAATAAATAAGAACAAGAGCTAGAAAGAAAATAGCAGAAAACCCAGAGGGGTGTGTATATATATGCTTGTATATGTATGTGTAGTGTGACCTAAGTGTAAGTAGAAGTAGCAAGACGTACCTGAAATCTCGCATGTTCATGAGACAGAATAAAAAGACACCAGCATCCTACCATCATGTAAAACAATTACAGGCTTTCGTTTTACACTCACTTGGCAGGACGGTAGTACCTCCCTGGGTGGTTGCTGTCTACCAACCTACTTCTTTCTTTCTCTCAACACACTGGCTGTATCCCACCAAGGCGGGGTGGCCCAAAAAGAAAAACGAAAGTTTCTCCTTTTAGATTTAGTAATATATACAGGAGAAGGGGTTACTAGCCCTTTGCTCCTGGCATTTTAGTCGCCTCTTACAACACGCATGGCTTACGGAGGAAGAATTCTGTTCCACTTCCCCATGGAGGTAAGAGGAAATAAACAAGAACAAGAACTAAGAACGTGTGACCTAAGTGTAAGTAGAAGTAGCAAGACGTACCTGAAATCTTGCATGTGTATGAGACAGAATAAAAAGACAGCAGCAATCCTACCATCATGTAAAACAATTACAGGCTTTCGTTTTACACTAACTTGGCAGGACTGTAGTACCTCCCTGGGCAGTTGCTGTCTACCAACCTACTACCTATACATAATGAAACATTATGTAAAAAAATGTATTCAAACCTTTGCCTACATTGGTACTTGTCCAAGTGGACCTTTGCTCATAGTAGTTGAGCAGCCCTGGTCTAGACCTTTCTTAACAGTGGAAGGTATAGACCTTTACATTTTTTTTTTCAACAAGTTGGCCGTCTCCCACCGAGGCGGCCGACTTGTTGAAAAAAAAAAAAAATGTGGAACAAAAATGTGGAGTTTCAGTTTCTTTCAAAAAAATCAGCTTATCTGAAATAACTGCAGAATGCTGATTCTGATCTGCCTCAAAATCTGAGGCTGATATATTTCAATTAGGGAATTCTATGGCCTGATCTTGGGCTATGTAGATGCTAGTTTGTTAATATTATTAAAAAATATGGACTTTTTCTATGCAATATGTGATATAAATGGTTTAGAAAACTGACAAGTTGAAGAATGAGATGCTTATGCTACATTTGGCAATCTTTATTGTTGAAACATTTCCACAATAAAGATTCCCAAATGTTGCACAAGTGTTTCAGTTGTCAACCCATGCAATATCTTAAGAGTGGAGCTTCTGAACAGCTTTAAGTTTAAGGTGCTAGTGTATTTTGCTTGAGGAAGGTATATACAATGCAGCCTCTCCTCACTTAACGATGGAGTTCTGTTCCTAAGACCATGTCAGTAAAGCAATTCATCGCATACTATAATGGTAGTGGGTGTGTGTCAACCATCTTTGATATTGTTTTAATGTCACCTTATCACCATTTGTAACATTTCTGGTATATTTTTAAATGTAATAAAGAGAATAGAGGAAATCAGCTCTAATATACATTATTTAGGTATTCTTATTGGTCAGAGAGCCCGTCATATATCCAAGTCATTGGTAAACAAGTACTTCGCTAGTGAAGAGATGCTGTATTCTTATTGGACTGTATAAGTCCTAATTTGCAAATTTTATAAAACAATTTGAGATATTGGCTTCTATGTTATAACTAACTAATGCCTCCTCTGACTAGCTTTGAATTTTCATAGCCGGTATTTCTTACTTAGTGGAAAATTTGGATTTATTTTGGGCTGTGTACATGCCAATTTGCTATTTTTATTGAAGAGAATGGGACATTACATGTAGTTTCCATCCAGTAACTTTTGAATGCCTGATCACGGATTACTTTCAAATTTGGAATGTTGATATTTAACTGCATTAGAGACTTATGCCACACTCAGTACTATTTTTTAATGTACATTGAGGCACAAGAGGCCATATTTATGGTATGTGGGGGCCACATTTATGGTATGTGGGGGCCACATTTATGGTATGTGGGGGCCACATTTATGGTATGTGGAGGCCATATTTAGAGTATGTGAAGGGGCCATATTTATGGTATGTGGGGGCTGTGTTTATGGTATGTGGGGGAATACCCTTTTCATATTACACAGGAACTGAAACAAGTCTGGTAATTTACATTATTTCAGACCCATCATCAATTGTAATGCTGAATTAAGAGAGATAGAGCGCAGTGATGGTTATGCCCTTCAAGTTACCCAGCCAGGAGGTTCAGTCAGCAAAGCTCCAGCAACTGTGGTGTTTAATCGCTTGCAGCAGGTTTGTTATCCTGATCTTGGTGTTCCAGTATTAGAAACAAATCTGTGCACCTCTGGCAAAGCAGTGATAGTGTGAATGATGGTGAAAGTGTTTCTTTTTTTGGTCACCCTGCCTCAGTGGGAGATGGCCAGCATGTTAAAAAATAACAAGATAAAAATTAACACCATATTAATGGTAAATATTATACAAAGGTGTCTGTCTTGCTGCATATTTAGGTTTTTAACTTATTTTTGCTGTTTAACAGTCCTTTGGAATGATGTAATGAAGCAATGCAAGAAAGCTAAGCTTCTTTTTTGTAGAGAATAGATGAAGCAATATTTTGGACTACCATTTTTCCTCTTGATAGGTAATGTGAAAAAAATTGTTTAGGTGTTTGGAATGCTACATACAAGCTTGTTGAGTATCAAGATCCACACAGATGGCAAGGAAGGTGAAGCAGTGTCCCTGATGCAGCTTCTTGGTAAAAAGGTGAGTCACTGAACAATGTCACTCATGTATCCTTCTAGTACTGTACTTGTTAATCTTTATTATTATTGTTGTACCAAAGTACATGTCAGTTATTGCAACAAAGTTTTTAGGTGAAAGTTGGTATTGGTGTGCAGTACTCTTATTACTACATGGTTTTGCAAAAAAAAAAAATATATGTATATATCATTGATTCTATGAAGATTACAGTGTATTTAGAAATTAATCTTGGAATGATGTAATTTCAGATTGGTGCGGAATTTACAGAATTACTCATTAAAGATTGCTTAGCGGAAGCAGTACCTTATAGTAGAGCGCAGTTGAAAGACTATGAAGAAGTCAAACATACTACGGAAGACTTCCAAAAATTTCTTTGTAAAATGGGTGAGGCCTGTAATCATTTGATTTGTATTTACTAAAAGCTTACAAATACAGGTACTGTAATTAGATTTTAGCACTGTATTTCTTGGTATATAACACTTTTTTTTCTTTTTGAGGATAGTTTCGTGATCTGAATGAATAATTCGGGTTGAATTTTTAAGCTTTATTAGACATAGGTATCCAACCTTTTATTCCTTCTATGAAAACTTGTTAGACAAAATTGCAGGAAACTAAACTCACTTTGGAAAACAAATTCCAGTCTACTTTGTGATTATCTCCAAGTTTTATTGAAACACCACCCAAAGCCCACCATCATAACCTATGATGGTGGGTTATCTGATGCCTGGCAGAGTAGTGGGCTTGTTTCCTTTGCAAGACTTAATATAAATAATTTCCCTGTTTTCTTACTGTCACTGTCTCACTTCTTTCATAAACTCTCTATATCTCTCAACAGCTTATCACCTACAGTATTTCATACACTAGCATCATTTAACCCATTCTGTCATTTACCTTTTCCAAATGTGTGTTTCTAATTAGTAAAATTTGTTTGACATTGGCTTAATCATTCTTTCATTTGCTCATATATGGATAGATAAATTGTATGCTTTATATGATTAAGTTTTATATTTTATGTAAAAGTAAAGCATGGTCATGGCGACTATACTGTAATTCATGAGCAATATTATAAACGTGAAAGAGTTATACCAATTCAAGCAGTATGATAAATTACAAAGAATATGGCAGTAATTAAATATCTTGGATATTTGTAACCCTGCCTCGGTGGGTTACGGCTGGTTGTTGAAAAAAAATATTTGTAAAGTATTCTAGCAGGGTTATTAAGATTTATGTTTCTAGATCAATGTGATGTTGAAACTAATACTGTTAATAAGTTTTATTTCCTCAGGGTTTTATGATGTACAGGAAAAGTCAATAATAGAATATGCTGCCAATGTTGATGTTGTGTTTAGCAACAAAGCTTGTGCACATATATTAGAACAAGCTCGAGGACTGATGGAGAGACCTTTACACGTCACAGTGTGTATTACTCCAATACAAGTAGATGGCTCCCTCATTATACAGGTAATGTACCTCAAGAATATGTGGGTAATGATGATATTTCTGTGCTTTGAAATCATGCATTTAGTGTAATATTAGAGCTTCTCAAAAACTTATAATTTAAGCCAACAAGATAAACAGTACAGTAGACCCTTAATTTTTTTAATAAGTCTATTTGTAGAATAAGTTTATAGAAATAGCTGGGCACTTCAGTATATGATGTGGTTTTAAGGGAACATCTTTTAAAATACAATATTGCATAAACTATAAATATGTTAAGATCTGTGCCTACCAATTCTTAATGTAAATATATATTACTTAAAATTTAATGCTTTCACTGTCTCCCATGTAGATGCATGTTATTGAGATCAGTAAATGGGTTATTGACATGAGAAAATGGGTCTGTTTGGTGGGTGTGCACAATAAAAAAAATATCCTGTTGGTTGCAGTGCATGATGGAAAATGCAAGCCTCTGGCCTTGTGTTTTGTTTAAAATGTGTATTTTGAGGTATTTTCTAGGATGATTTTTATGGTTTTATTGGCTGTTTCTTGGTATCATTTGATAAAACTGAGAACATATTAGTGAAATAGAGATGATTCTGGTCTGTTTCAGACTGGAAGTATCTTGAAATAAGCCTTGAGGGTGAGGTCAGGTGTATCATATCGACGTCTTTATTTTTCAACCGATTACGTTCATTTTTGGTGTACTATTAGAAGCTTATATTAAAGATCCTGTGCTGAAGTTTCAATCATATCGGCCAAAAAGTAAATGAAATATGCAAAATTTATGAAAAATTGCATTTGGCAGGGGGGTCCTACTCAGTGGTACTTGGAAAAGTGGTTTTGACACTTGCTGCTGATAGAACACCTCTAATTCCATCACTGTAAGTGTACCAATTCTAAAATAAACCTTATCTTCATGCTAAAAAAAAATAAGTTTCATAACTTTTTTTGTCATATTGGAAGATGTCGGTCTTGTTGCCCACATAAATCTAAAAATATTTTGGATAGTTCAGAAAGGTACACTCTACCTTGTAAAGCAATCATTCTCCAATGTTTGTTGTGAAAATCAAGTCAATTTAATCATAAATAAAGATGGAGTGCCCCTAAATAGGTAAATAAGTTACTTTCGAGATATAGGCCGAAGCGCACGGCACCCCAGCTGCCCGGGAAATAATTTTTTTCCCCGAAAAATTCGCTTTATTTTACACTTTTTGCGTGACCTACGAGTGTTTATTACAGTTAACCATTGTAAATTTGTTTTCTCTCATCACATGTACGAGAGAACGAACCTTCAGGGGATACACCGATAGAAATTTTTCCCTCTTGGGCATCATATTATGCTATATATTATTTTTTACGGTGTGCTTTTTATGTTTATATGCTATTATTATATTGCATATGTCATAATAGATCAATTGTGATAGATAAATAAGCCTTATAATTGATATTAGCGTGGGTATGGAATATTTATGGAACATTTTGTTGGCTGGAGGTGTCGGCCATTTTGGGTACTATACCCAGGGTACGTGACTGGTTACTTGATCATATTAGCTCCGCCCACTCTGGCATGATCTCAGATGGTGAATTTGTATTATATTAGACATAAAGATATAAGAAAACGATAAAAATAACACGGGGAAAAACGTAAACAAAGCCGAGTCAGCGCTTCTTACGCAATATGACGCGTCAGCACTGTCACCATGCCTGTTATAAATGGCTGTAATTCCTTTTAGAAACATCGTACAAGGATAATAATTATACCAGAGTGTAGCCAGAAAGTTCAGCTATTTTTTGGTAACAATAACTCCATTTTCATATTTTTTCGAATTTTTTTTTTGCTCCGCGCGCGTGAACCTGACCACTCCCTTGAAGTGGGGGAAATATTCACTTTTTGATGTTTTTTTTTTTCTTCTGAGGAATAGTAGGGTCCTTTCCCATCTATCCTCTTGGCTTCTGCAGAACTTCATGAACTCTAGGAATGTAACCAGATCTTTTGCAGTTGGAAGCCTGTTAAAAAAACTATTATAAATTATAGAGTGCAATTTAAGCTGACTTTAGTCCTTGAAATACAGTTTCATATACAGTTATAGCAGTTTTACATGCTTTTAAGCTGGTTATTAAAGAATTTCCTAGGTAGTAGGTTGGTGGTCAGCAACCGCCCAGGGAGGTGCTACCGTCCTGCCAAGTGATTGTAAAACGAAAGCCTGTAATTGTTTTACATGATGGTAGGATTGCTGGTGTCTTTTTTCTGTCTCATAAACATGCAAGATTTCAGGTACGTCTTGCTACTTCTACTTACACTTAGGTCACACTACACTAACATGTACAGCATATATATACACACCCCTCTGGGTTTTCTGGTATTTTCTTTCTAGTTCTTGTTCTTGTTTATTTCCTCTTATCTCCATGGGGAAGTGAACAGAATTCTTCCTCCGTAAGCCATGCGTGTTGTGGGAGGCGACTAAAATGCCGGGAGCAAGGGGCTAGTAACCCCTTCTCCTGTATAAATTACTAAATTTGAAAAGAGAAACTTTTGTTTTTCTTTTTGGGTCACCCTGCCTCGGTGGGATACGGCTGGTGTGTTGAAAGAAAGAAAGAAAGATTAAAGAATTTGATTGTATACCATGGAGCACTTTGAATTTTAGAAATTGTATTATGTCAGTGGAAGAGTTTGAAATGGAGCACTTTCTTTTGCATCACAGATGCAATAAAACTGCATTGTGTGATCAGTGAAAAGACCTCAGTACTCTCGTTGCATATGGACAATGATGGCACATTTCAAATCACTTGTGTTCTCATGATTTGAATAATGTTGTGTGTTCACAGTGCCTTTCAAGGCAGGAGAGATAACAGAGCTGGAAAGTGTACAGAGGTTGTATACTATCTTCATAGAACTAATAAAAGATCATAACAATTGGGAATGCATCAGACCACTTTGCTTGTTCTCTTTGAAAAAGAGAAATCTTATTTTTTCTTTTTTAACAAACCAGCCATATCCCACCAAGGCAGGGTGGCCTCCCAAAAATAAAAAGTTTCTCTTCTTAATTTTAGTAATGTATACAGGAAAAGGGGTTACTAGCCCCTTGCTCCTGGCATGTTAGTCACCTGTTATGACACACATAGCTTACAGAGGAAGAATTCTGTTCCACTTCCCAATGGAAATAAGAGGAAATAAACAAGAACTAGTAAGAAAATAGAAGAAAACCCAGAAGGGTGTGTATATATGTGCTTGTATATGCAAATGAAATGTAGTGTAACCTAAGTGTAAGTAGAAGTAGCAAAACGTACCTGAAATCTTGCATTTTTTTTTTTTCCTTCTTCAACAAACCAGCTGTATCCCACCAAGGCAGGGTGGCAAAAGAAAAACGAAAGTTTCTCTTCTTAAATTTAGTAATTTATACAGGAGAAGGGGTTACTAGCCCCTTGCTTCCGGCCCAGTGAAGAGCAGGGGAGCCATAGATACTCTATAGAACACTGTCAAAATCTGTAGCTCAAACTCTTCAGCATATTCCTAGCAGATATCAAAAGGACAGCTGCATAGCTTCAAGTGCTGGATCAACTAGATTATGATAGCTATGTGGGCCTACATGCTGCTAGGATGAACAGCCTGACTGACCAAGCAGTCAGCAGGAAAGCCTGGCCTAAGGATGAACTCTGGAGGTAGAATAGCCCTTGAAGCTGGTATTATATTTTTTCAGGAAGTTAGATAGCTATTAATATTAAAACTGTTTCCATTGTATTACTTATATGCATTTCATTGTTTCTCTCTTCACGCTTCCCGTCCTCTACCCTTTTAAATAGACACTTGTGTATAGTGTATACTATACTGTTTAACCTGGTTGCAGGATGAGACTGGAAAAAAGCTTGAGAAAAGTACATTGAGATTGGAGAAGTTACTTGCTGCAAAGACCTTTAATCTTCCCAAATGTCAGATTAGGTAAGCTACATTATACTTATGAACTGGTAGTGAATAAGTGGACAGATACATAGTATATTGAACTACAGTGCTTATATGCACTTAGATACAATTTTTTTAACCTAACATCTTGTAACTGCCAAGTTTTCTTCATGTATTACACAGTTATAAGTTTATCTTTTAACACATTGGCCATCTTCCACCAAGGCAGGGTGACCCAAACAAGAAGAAACACTTTCATAAAGTTTTTCTTTTTACATTCAATAATTTATTCTGGAAAAGCAGTTCCTAGCCCCTTGCTCCTGGCATTTTTGTTACCTCTTACGACATGCATAGCTTAAGAAAGAAGAATTCTCCACTTCCCGATGGAGGCAGTTATAAGTAAAGAACTCATATTTCATCTTTTTCGGACATCAGTGCTTCTGTTTGTGAGCTGGTCGAGCTCATATATGAGACAATGGAGGAAGCCTGCACCAGTTTACCTCAGTATGCTGGAAGACTGTTCTACACTGTACGCAACATCCTTACACTCTACTGTGAAGCTGTACCTACAGCCCATGCCTATGCACTAGCAACATTACCACAGCAAGCAGGTATGTTGTAGTTCAGATTAATAACTTCATTTGCTTTAGATATTGTGTCTTAATTTATGAAAATGATAACATTCTAACTATACAGGGATAACAGGAAGTTTTGCACATGTGATTTATGTCAGTGTTTTGGTCATACTTCTTTAAATTCAATATTGCTCTGATTACCTTAATATTGACATTTAAAGAAAGGAATCAGCACATTGGGTGCCAAGCAAATATGCAGTTTCACATAAGCAATACATTAGGGATCATGAGATGAGCAATTATGTGGCAATTTAAGAGATTGTATGCCAAATAAAAAAATACAATACACACACAAAAAAGATGTTATTAATCAAAGTTATCTGCAAAAAGGCCTGCAGTTAAAATTTTGTATAATCAAACCACACAAATTACAGAACATGGGAATTCTGGAGTTTCACTAATTAGAATTTCCTTTATTTTTGTCCTGAGGTTAACCATAAACTTTCAAGGAAGTGCTGTACTGCATGTCATATCTGCACTCTACCTTGGTGGGAGACAGCCAACGTGTTTAAAAAATATATGCAGTGGAACCTCGGTTTTCGTATGCCCCAGTTTTCATAGGATTAGGTTTTCGACGACTTTTTCTGTTGAAATTTTGTGCCAGTTTTTGTACATCACTTTGATTGTCATAGAGTTGAAAATGATCCGTACCAAACGTGTCCGCCTGCGCGCCCGCATCGTCACTTGGCCACTCAAGGGCCCACACAAAGCATCACATGCGTTTGTGACTCAGTCTGCCTTTGTTTCTGGTTGAGTGAATCCATGGGGTTGGATGTGAGTGGCCATGATGTGGAAGAGTTGGTAGATGACCACAGGGATCAGCTAACCACTGAAGAGCTGCAAGACCTTCAACTGGAACAGCAACAGGCTGCAGACGAGGAAATTACTTCAAAGGAGGAAGAAAGAGAGGACAATGTGCCTTCTTCAGTGATTAAGGACATGTGTGCAAGGTGGAATGAGTCGTAAAGTTTTGTGGAGAAATATCACCCTAACAAAATTGTTGCAAGCCGTGTCTGCAGCATGTTCAATGACAATGCCTTGTTCCATTTTAGGCAAATCTTAGAGATGCCCGAAACAGACCTCTCTAGACAGATTTTTTGTGCAACAGGGTTACAGTGACTCTCAAGCTGGTCCTAGTGCCAGTAAAAGACAAAGAATGGAAGTAACCTCGATAGGGCTTGATACCTGAAGTCCTTATGGAGGGGGATTCCGCTTCCAAACAATAATCTCTCCTCCCTCTCCTCTACTCACCGTCTTCCATACTCCAACAAGTCTTCAATAAAGGTAAAAGTGATGTTAAATGTTCATTTATCCATTTCATTAGTTGCTTAGATTTATTTCTCATTGTTTTCTGTATGTAAAACTATAGTTATTCTCTATAAAATATATATATTTTTTTTAATATTTTTGGGTGTCTGGAATGGATTAATTGGATTTACATTATTTCTTATGAGAAATATTGTTTCAGTTTTCATACAATTTGGTTTTCGTCAGACTTTTTAGAATGGATTAATCACGAAAACTGAGGGTTCACTGTATATCGTTTTTCATAATGAATGTTGCCTAGTATTATAAGTAAACAACTTGTCTTCTGAATAGGATGGGCATTTTCACAGGTATTACTGTTGTAGATTTCTCCCCATTCTAAAGATCTTCAGTACAGCAGTTACATATTTGTTATTGCAGGTTAGGCTAACCTTAACTAACTTTCACTATATTATATTATTGCTAACCTAAACAACAAAATACAGTACTATTATAGGTCATTTGTGACTATTATTCGATTTGAGATTTTTGTATAGCTGTAGGTGGCATGTGAGCTCAGTTATGATTAGCATCTCTAGTAAGGACAACTGTGTGGTTTGGCTTTGTTCTTGAATTTTTTTGTTACTTTTTTTTTGGACACTAACTTAAGCATCTCTCTAAAGTGACATGAAAAACACTTCTGTATGCTCAGAAAATAAAGCCTTTTATTGAGAATGATGTGCAGCTCTGACACTTGCTAGCCATTTCGGGATCAGTCTTTTGATCTTTTAAAGCTGGGCTTCATTTGTTTGTCATGCTGCAGCAGCAAGCAAGTGGAACTACACCAAACTTATTACATACATTCCTTTACACCAAATTGTACAGTATGTGTAATTGTGTATATCTAGTTGTTAAGTCATACAGTATATTGTATAAATTTTCAACTTTATACCCCTCTTTTTCACAGTTTTAAGTGTCAAATGCTGTAGTATTATATACTTTTTAGGATATTGGTTTTTGGTTAGTATCTCAAAAATGGGACTTGTGTATATGAAGTATGTTGTGATTCTCAGCAATTTTTTTTTATCCTCTTTTGGGCAAGCTCAGTAACCCATGCCTTCAGACTCATAACACATTTATAAAAGTAATAAATGCAGCATTCATTTATTAACCCGTAAACGGTCCAAATGTATATATATGTTTTTTCAACATTTGAAAGTATGTAAAAAAAGTGGATCTTCTTTTTGTTTTTCTACATTTGAAAATGTGTAAAAAACTTTGATCTACTTTTTTTTTTTGTTATATTTGAAAATATGTAAAAAAAACTTAGATCTACTTTTGTAGCACTACACATGTGAACGTAGATCTGCTTGGACCGTTAATGGGTTAAGATTATAAAAAAAATTACTGAAATATAATGGAATCCTATCTGCAGTTAAGCTGTCAATAAATTATATCTAATTTATACGATTTATTTTGTCTTGTGTGTTATTCCAAATTCGTACTTTGAAATAAGTACTGCTTATATTAATTATGTAATAATTTTCACAGCTGTAGTCCACAACAACACCATGTACCTTGCTCATCATGCACTCCTCCTGGGCCACCAGTACAAAAACAGATTACCACAGGCACTCAGAGACAACACAGTTACCACTGTTGACTTGGCTCAACAGCTTCGAAAGATGGCTACTTCCACATTTTTGAAGGCTTTGAAAGGACATCGTGCAGCTCTTATTGATTCACTCAGAGAATCAGCTGGTTGGTTTTCAGTATTGTTCACACTTGATAATTTTTTTTTGGGGGGTGGGGAAGAGGCAGGATCTTGTGTGTTATCAGTTATTACATTCACTGTTGATGAAATTGAGACACATGTGCAACATCTGGGTATCTTTATTGTAGACGTTTCGCCAACCAGTGGCTTTATCAATACAAATTCCAGGACATAACTTGAAGACAGGAGAACTATGTACAGAAGATGAGGTAATCAGTCCCTCAACCTAGCAGTAGGTGCGAAGAGCACCATAGTCGTGGAGATTTTGAAGCAGAAGCAAGGCGCCTGATGCTTATATAGTAACGTCAGGTGGAAAAGGGACGGGTAGCAGACGAGAGCATAGTCACTGGTAGGCGGGATTCCCCAGTGGAAGTAGGTCCTACCCAAAGAGATGGGTTAGTTGTAGCAGTAGGTGTCGTAGTCGTGAAGGTTATGTACGTGTCCTCAGAATCAAGATTCCATGATGCTGCAGTGTCTGACAGGTTGTACAAGTATGGTATACAATACCGACAAGATGAAATTGAGACACATGTGCAACATCTGGGTATCTTTATTGTAGACGTTTCGCCAACCAGTGGCTTTATCAATACAAATTCCAGGGCACAACTTGAAGACAGGAGAACTATGTACAGAAGATGGTGCTCTTCGCACCTACTGCTAGGTTGAGGGACTGATTACCTCATCTTCTGTACATAGTTCTCCTGTCTTCAAGTTACGTCCTGGAATTTGTATTGATAAAGCCACTGGTTGGCGAAACGTCTACAATAAAGGTACCCAGATGTTGCACATGTGTCTCAGTTTCATCTTGTCGGTATTGTATACCATTCTTGTATTACATTCACTGGGGGTATAAACTTCAAGATTATTAATTTTTAATATGCAAGTCATATTATAGTTATCATAAGCACCATTTTCCACATTATAGGGAGAGTGAATATGAAAAAAAGGGGTTCAAGACATTTAAAATGACACCCATCCATCCATCTGCATTGCTTTTCCCTCTTAGCAACATCACCAAGAATCTGTACCACTACCACTCTACAGCAAATCATCCATAAATTATTTTAATTGCTTCATAGACAATTTGTGAAACATTTTTCTCCTGAGGTTTCATGGGTAAATTGTTAATCATTCACCCCATCCTAATAAACTTCTTCCACTTAGCTTTGCTCCTACTACTAAAGAGATGTTTATAGTCAGTAAATGCTTCCTCTCACACTCATGCTCAGGACCAATTATGTCTCTCTAATCTTTTTGACTTATGTCTATTGGAAGGCAAGACAGTGATAGTGTGAATGATGGTGAAAGTGTTTCTTTTTTGGGTCACCCTGCCTCAGTGGGAGATGACCAGCATGTTAAAAAATAAACCTATAAAAATGTGTCACTGTATTTGCCCATATTCTTGGTCTTTCCACTTCTCTAAGCCTTAAAATACACTTCAGAGCATCATCCTCTCATCTCTTCATGACTTCATTATTGTCTGTTTTTCTAACACCACATCAAAATCTTTATCTGAAAAATTAGAATTACTTTGGATCTATATAGTGAAGCTTTGAAATTAATGTAGGACATAGAAATTGCTGAAATAAGGATAGCATGGTAGGGTTTGCACAAAATTAAACCATGTCACTAATCATAAATATTTATTCCTAAGTGCTAAATAGTTAACATACTTAATCTAAAAAATATTTCAGGTAAATTTTTTCATTTGTTTGAGAGCGATTTTCCTTTGAAATAATAATAATAGATTAATTATTTCATGTCTTTTGTTAATGATATTGACTGCTGGAAGAGTGCAATGTGAAAATGCATTTATAACTTCATACATATAAGAGTGTTAGTTAAACCAATGTTCTTATATGGGTGTGAAGCATGGGTGGTGAATGTTACAACTAGGAGAAGGCTGGAGGCAGTGAAGATGTTGCTTTTGAGGGCAATGTGTGGTGTGAATATAATGTAGAGAATTTGTAGTTTGGAAATTAGGAGGTGTGGGATTACCAAAACTATTATCCAGAGGGCTGAAGAGGGATTGTTGAGGTGGTTCAGAAATGTAGAGAGGATGGAACAAAATAGAATGACTTCGAGAGCGTATAAATGTAGTGGAGGGAAGGCGGGGTAGAGGTTGGCCTAGGAAAAGTTGGAGGGAGGGAGGTATGGAGGTTTTGTGTGCGAGGGGCTTGGACTTCCAGCAAGCATGCGTGAGTATGTTAGATAGGAGCGAATGGAGACAAATGGGTTTTAGGACTTGACGTGCTGTTGGAGTGTGAGCAGGGTAATGTTTATGAAGGGATTCAGCAACAGTGGCAGGCTGGACTCGAGTCATGGAAATGGGAAGTACAGTGCCTGCACTCTGAAGGAGGGGTGTTAATGTTGCAGTTTTATAACTGTAGTGTAAGTGCACCTCTGGCAAGACAGTGATAGAGTGAGTGATGGTGAAAGTTTTTCTTTTTTGGGCCACCCTACCTTGGTGGGAAATGGCCAATGTGTTCATAAAAACACTTTGGCCATCTCATTAATAGACTAATAGGGAAAAGGAGGTGTACAATAATGCTGATTGTCTGCAACTCCTGCATTATAAAATTAGTATTTCTTGATCGTCTAGTTGTCTTCTGTGGTGGACTTGGTCCACTGATGCAGAAGACAGCTGGAAACTAAGAATACGTTGATTGTAACAGGTATAGCCTTTCCTCACTTAAAGACAGAGTTCCATTCCTGAGACCACATCATTAGTATTATGGTAGTGAGTTTGTGTCAGCCATCTTTGATATTGTTTTAATATCACCTTTACATCGTTTATAATATTTCTTTCTTTCTTTCAACACACCAGCCGTATCCCACCGAGGTGGGGTGGCCCAAAAGGAAAAACGAAAGTTTTTCCTTTTACATTTAGTAATATATACAGGAGAAGGGGTTACTAGCCCCTCGCTCCCGGCAGTTTAGTCGCCTCTTACGACACGCATGGCTTACGGAGGAAGAATTCTGTTCCACTTCCCCATTGTACTTCCCATTTCCAGGACTCAAGTCCGACTATATGAAAATAACCGGTTTCCCTGAATCCCTTCACTAAATATTACCCTGCTCACACTCCAACAGATCGTCAGGTCCCAAGTACCATTTGTCTCCATTCACTCCTATCTAACACGCTCACGCACGCTTGCTGGAAGTCCAAGCCCCTCGCCCACAAAACCACCTTTACCCCCTCTCTCCAACCCTTTCGAGGACGACCCCTACCCCGCCTTCCTTCCCCTATAGATTTATATGCTTTCCATGTCATTCTACTTTGATCCATTCTCTCTAAATGACCAAACCACCTCAACAACCCCTCTTCTGCCCTCTGACTAATACTTTATTAACTCCACACCTTTTCCTAATTTCCACACTCTGAATTTTCTGCATAATATTTACACCACACATTGCCCTTAAACAGGACATCTCCACTGCCTCCAACCGTCTCCTCGCTGCTGCATTTACCACTCAAGCTTCACACCCATATAAGAGTGTTGGTACTACTCTACTTTCATGCATTCCCTTCTTTGCCTCCATAGATAACGTTTTTTGACTCCACATATACCTCAACGCACCACTCACCTTTTTTCCCTCATCAATTCTATGATTAACCTCATCCTTCATAAATCCATCCGCTGACACGTCAACTCCCAAGTACATGTATCTGAAAACATTCACTTCTTCCATACTCCTCCTCCCCAATTTGATATCCAATTTTTCTTTATCTAAATCATTTGATACCCTCATCACCTTACTCTTTTCTATGTTCACTTTCAACTTTCTACCTTTACACACATTCCCAAACTCATCCACTAACCTTTGCAATTTTTCTTTAGAATCTCCCATAAGCACAGTATCATCAGCAAAAAGTAACTGTGTCAATTCCCATTTTGAATTTGATTCCCCAAAATTTAATCCCACCCCTCTCCCGAACACCCTAGCATTTACTTCCTTTACAACCCCATCTATAAATATATTAAACAACCATGGTGACATTACACATCCCTGTCTAAGACCTACTTTTACCGGGAAGTAGTCTCCCTCTCTTCTACACACCCTAACCTGAGCCTCACTATCCTCATAAAAACTCTTTACAGCATTTAATAACTTACCACCTATTCCATATACTTGCAACATCTGCCACATTGCTCCTCTATCCACTCTACCATATGCCTTTTCTAAATCTATAAATGCAATAAAAACTTCCCTACCTTTATCTAAATACTGTTCACATATATGCTTCAATGTAAACACTTGATCTACACATCCCCTACCCACTCTGAAACCTCCTTGCTCATCCGCAATCCTACATTCTGTCTTACCTCTAATTCTTTCAATTATAACCCTACCATACACTTTTCCTGGTATACTCAGTAAACTTATTCCTCTATAATTTTTACAGTCTCTTTTGTCCCCTTTCCCTTTATATAAAGGGACTATACATGCTCTCCGCCAATCCCTAGGTACCTTCCCCTCTTTCATACATTTATTAAACAAAAGTACCAACCACTCCAACACTATATCCCCCCTGCTTTTAACATTTCTGTCATGATCCCATCAGTTCAGCTGCTTTACCCCCTTTCATTCTACGTAATGCCTCACGTACCTCCCCCACACTTAAATTCTGCTCTTCTTCACTCCTAAAAGATGGTATACCTCCTGACCAGTGCATGAAATTACTGCCTCCCTTTCTTCCTTAACATTTAAAAGTTCCTCAAAATATTCTTGCCATCTACCTAATACCTCCCTCTCCCCATCTACTAACTCCCCTACTCTGTTTTTAACTGACAAATCCATACTTTCCCTAGGCTTTCTTAACTTGTTTAACTCACTCCAAAATTTGTTCTTATTTTCATTAAAATTTCTTGACAGTGCCTCTCCCACTCTATCATCTGCTCTCCTTTTGCACTCTCTCACCACTCTCTTTACCTTTCTTTTACTCTCCATATACTCTTCTCTTCTTATAACACTTCTGCTTTGTAAAAACCTCCCATAAGCTACCTTTTTCTCTTTTATCACACCCTTTACTTCATCATTCCACCAATCACTCCTCTTTCCTCCTGCCCCCACCCTCCTATAACCACAAACTTCTGCCCCACATTCTAATACTGCATTTTTAAAACTATTCCAACCCTCTTCAACTCCCCCACTACTCATTTTTGCACTAGCCCACCTTTCTGCCAATAGTCGCTTATATCTCACCCGAACTTCCTCCTCCCTTAGTTTATACGCTTTCACCTCCCTCTTACTTGTTGTTGCCACCTTCCTCTTTTCCCATCTACCTCTTACTCTAACTGTAGCTACAACTAAATAATGATCCGATATATCAGTTGCCCCTCTATAAACATGTACATCCTTGAGCCTACCCATCAACCTTTTATCCACCAATACATAATCTAATAAACTACTTTCATTACATGCTACATCATACCTTGTATATTTTTATCCTCTTTTTCATAAAATATGTATTACTTATTACCAAATCTCTTTGTACACATAGCTCAATTAAAGGCTCCCCATTTACATTTACCCCTGGCACCCCAAATTTACCTACTACTCCCTCCATAACATTTTTACCCACTTTAGCATTGAAATCCCCAACCACCATTACTCTCACACTTGATTCAAAACTCCCCACGTATATACTTCTAAACTGTTGTATTCTGGGAACCTCTGCAAAAAAAGTGATTGTGTGAGTGAGGTGAAAGTGTTGAATGATGTTGAAAGTATTTTCTTTTTAGGGATTTCTTTCTTTTTGGGTCACCCTGCCTCGGTGGGAGATGGCCAACTTGTTGAAAAAAAAAAAAAAAGAGGTAAGAATACTGGTCAGGGAGCCCGTTGTAAGTCTGAGGCATCAGTAAACGAGTACGTTGCTAAATGAGGAAAGGCTGTACTACAGTACAATACTGTACAGTAGAACCCCGTATTCACTGATTCGGTATCTGCAGTTTCAGTTATCCACGGTTTACTGTGACCCAAAATACCTCTTAATTTTGCATAATAATGCCCCTAAAGTGCAAAAGTAGAGAAGCTAGCAGTTCTTCAAAACCTAAGAGAAGCCTTAAAGTGCTTCCCATCAGTGAAAAAGTGATAATTTTCCACTTACTGTGCATAATTTAACAATTAAACTTTATAATGGGTATGTATAGAGCTTATAGGGTTTACTACTATCCACGGTTTCAGTATCCATGGCAGGTCCTTGGTATGTGGTCATCAGGGCTGCGGTTGTATGGCATGGGCCATTTTAACTTATCAGTCATATATCAGTACAAAGTAAAGATTTTTTTTTAATTTTGTATGCTTACCATGATTTGCTGATCCTTTTTTGTTCTATAGTTGCACTTCAAAATAACAACAAATTTAATTACAGGTTTAGACGCAATTGGGTGTGATACAAGTGGAGCTAACAAGGCACAGCAGGGTATGCGACAGGTGATTCACCAACTTCAGCTACTTCACAGTGTCTGGCAAAATGTACTTCCTCATAATGTATATACTAAAGCCATAGGTAAATATTTCACATAATTTAATTTTTCTCCAAAGTGGTGCATTGTTACTGTATAATTGAGAAAAATTTTGTTTTAGTTTATTTCTTTCTAGAGTAGTTTTTCATTGTTACTTTTGCAGAATAAACCTACTTGGTGAGTTTTTTCTCTTAATAATTAAGTGTTAGGCTATTCTGCCAGTATGTGGCTTAATATTTCTGAAAGGGATAAAAAAGGAAAAGCATTATACTTTTATGGGTCATATAGCACTACATAAACATGTGATTTCTGATTTATTCACTGGCTACATTGACAGGTACATTGGTGGGGTCAGTAGTAGAAGAAGTGGTAGCTCGTGTGGTGAGTTTAGAGGACATATCAGCTGATGCAGCTCTTGCTCTTATTAATCTCCTCAATCTTTTGAAGGATAATGTGCCACCACTCTTTCAGGTAAGATCTACATTTTCTCTCAGTCTTGAACATTAACAGTAATGGTTGTTAAACAGAAATTATATAATCTTTAGATACAATATTAAAACTACTGAGGTTAATGTTATCAGCAGTAGTAATTCCTGCTTCATTTTTGCAAATATTCAGGGTCTGAAATCAAATAAAAAGGACAAAGTTAGTTGTGTCAGTGGGCTCCTATCAGAAGCAAATGCCATGTTTTGGGCATTTACAGAAACACACAAGGGTTGTTTTGGACATAGAGGTAGAAAACTATAACATGTATAGATGTGATAGAATTAATTAGTCACAGGGAGGAGTAGGACTCTATGTAAAAGATACTTTCTGTTGCACAGAAGTGCTGAACTCTACGAATGATATAGTAGAAATCCTTGGCATCAAAGTTGAAAATAGGAATTTGGTAATTATACTAGTGATAAATTAGACACATGTGCAACTCTTGGGTATCTTTATTGAGGAAACGTTTCGCCACACAGTGGCTTCATCAGTCCATACGTAGGAGAAACTTGAAGAACAGGAGGAGAATGAGGTAATCAGTCCCTCAACCTTGAGTCGATGTGTTCAGTCCATCAATCTTGAATAGAATACGGCATATCAGCGGAGAAGCAGCTTATAAACCGTATGGCAGGAGAGGTGCAGCAGTCATAGGTCGTGTCACATTTGTTCAATGTGGAAGTAGGTCGTGCCCAAGAATTAGGCAAGCGAAGAATTCCTAAGTATTAAGATCCCAAGAAGTTGCAGTGTCTGACAGGTTTGTAGATGAATGGTTCAGAGAACCGACACGTTGATAGACACACAACATAAATAAACCACATAACATAAACCAAGAGCTATCAGACATATCCTGGGAATCAGACATGAGTGCCCTAAATCCTCACCAGTGCCTAGAGAAGCTGAATGCAGAAGCATGTACCATTGAGGAAACCCAGAAGAAAATCAGATATAGAGAGAGGAGATGGTACAGAAGAAGAAAACGGGTTACTGAATTGCTTAAAAACACAAATATGTTGCAACAGTGGAAAGATAGGCTTAGCCGAGAGATCAGTGAATTAGAGCAAAAACTTAGGATGTCATACCTAACAGAAGAAGCACAAAGGGAACAAAGGGCCATACAGGATATTGCAAGAATCCCAAAATATTTCTATTCCTATGCAAATCCAAGCTGTAGAATTGGACCATTATTGAGAGGAAATTCGTATACTGACAATGAACAGGAAATGAATGAAATCCTGAAAGAACATTATGAGTTGGTGTTCAGCAACCCACTAAACGACAGCAAGGTAGAAAATGCAGAAATATTTTTCACTCCAGCAGAAGGCCGTGCAGACCAACTAACTGACATTAGTACAAATCCCATAGATATTTGAATAAGAAATGGACAACATGCCCACTCACTCAGCACCTGGACCAGATTCATATAATGCTCTATTTATAAAGAAGTGCAAAGTACCACTAGCACGAGCCCTCAGTATTCTTTGGAGAAAGAGCTTACATTTAGGTGAAATACCAGAGGCCTTAAAGAGTGCAGACATAGCTCCTTTGCATAAATTTTCAAATTCAAATTCAAAGTTTATTCTCTATAAGGATTACAATGCTGAGTTTACAGAATTTGGTTATTGTGTGGTTTACATGTAGTAAAATAATGATTACAGAGTGTACCACTAGAACACCTAGCATGGCTAGGCATTTCGGGCAGACTTAGTTTAATTCTTAATTTTAAAATATTACAAATTATGAGGTAAGTTGGTATTATGGCTAAGTGACTAAATACTAGTTTGTGAGTTTAGCAATGTGAATGCTTTTGTTTTGGCACAGTACATAGTTTCAGTATTGGAGTATCACAGGATTCATTATTTTAAGATTGAGATTAATATTTCTGTTTATGGTCAAATGGGTGAGTGAGTGTAAGTGTGAACCACCAGGTGGTATTCGTGTAGTTAGTTGACGGGGTGTATCAGGGAGATAAGATGTTTTCTAATGGTAGTTTTGAAGGTGATGAATGTGTCTGCAGTTCTAGAGTTCTCAGGTAGAGTGTTCCAGATTTTAGGGCCTTTGACATACATTGAATTTTTGTAAAGATTTAGTCGGACACAGGTAATGTCGTAGAGATGTTTGTGTCTGGTGTTATGCCTGTGGGTTCTGTCACAACTATCAAGAAAGTGTTTTAGGTCAAGGTTGATATTAGAGTTTAAGGCCCTGTAGATGTAGATTGCATAGTAGTAAGTGTGGATGTACTGAACAGGGAGTAAGTTTAGATCTATGAAGAGTGGGGGGGTGTGTTGCCAGGGATGGGATTTAGTGATTATTCTTACTGCAGCTTTTTGTTGGGTTATTATTGGCTTTAGGTGTGTTGTTGCAGTTGATCCCCAAGCACAAATAGCATAGGTGAGGTATGGATAAATAAGTGAGTGGTATAGTGTTTGTAAGAAGGGCATTTTGCGGCACGTAGTATCGTATCTTGGAGAGGATCCCGACCATTTTGGATACTTTTTTTGGTTATATGTTGGATATGGGTGCTGAAATTCAGGTTGTTGTCAAGGTATAGGCCTAGGAATTTGCCCTCATTATGTCTGGTAATTAGAGTGTTGTCAATCTTAATGTTAATTTGTGCATCTCCTGCTCTGCTACCAAACATAATATAGTAGGTTTTGTCAGTGTTAAGCGTAAGTTTATTGGCTGTCATCCAAGTCGATATTTTGATCAGCTCCTCGTTAACAATGGTGTTGAGGGTGGCAAGATTAGGGTGAGAGATGACATAAGTCGTGTCGTCAGCAAAGAGAATGGGTTTCAGGTGTTGGGATACGTTTGGAAGATCATTGATGTATATGAGGAAGAGCAGGAGGTAGTAGAGTACTAGCTAAAAATTAGACCTGTACCCCTAACTTCTCACATCACAAAAATCTTCGAAAGAGTGATGAGACAGCAGATTACAAATTTCATGGACCAGCACAGCCAGCATAAACCGAACCAGCATGGTTTTAGAGCAGGACGATCATGCTTGTCACAGCTGCTGAACCATAATGACAGAATTACGGAGGCATTGGAAGACAACCAAAATGCAGATGTCATATAGTAAACAGATTTGCAAAGGCGTTTGACAAATGTGATCACGAAGTGATAGCGCACAAAATGAGGACCATGGGCATTATGGGGAAGATAGGCAGATGGATTTTCGGGTTCCTAACATACAGAACACAAAAAGTAGTAGTAAACAGAGCAAGATCCAGCATCAGCGAGGTCACAAGCTCGGTGCCCCAAGGCACTGTCCTGGCACCTCTGCTGTTTCTCATCCTCATGGCAGACATACATGTAGATAAAAACACCCGTCACACTTTTGTATCATCATTTGCAGATGACACTAAATTAAGCATGAGAATCACTACGGTAGAGGACACTGAAAAATTACAGGAAGACATAAGCAAGGTTTTCCAGTGGCCAGTGAAGAACAACATGACATTCAATGATGATAAGTTCCAGCTGCTTAGGTATGGAAAAAAAAAGAACTCAAAAGGAACAGTATATACAAAACTCAAGTGGGTCACCAAACAGAATGAAAGGAACATATAAAAGACCTGGGAATACATAATTATGTCAGCTGATCTTTCTTTTAAGGAACATAACAACACAAAGATCACGACAGCCAGGAAGATGATGGGGTGGGTATTGAGAACTTTCAAAACAAGGGAAATAATGCCGATGGTGACACTTCAAATCGCTAGTGCTCCCCATTTAGAATATTGCTCAGTGTTGATGGTCCCGTTCAAAGCAGGTGAAATATCAGAGCTGAAACAAATACAGAGATCGTTTACAGCTCACATTGAACCAGTAAAGCACCTAAATTACTGGGAATGCCTTCAAGTCTTGAACATGTACTCATTGGAGTGGAGGAGAGAGAGAGATAGTACATAATAATACATATATACCTGGAAAGTACTCGAGGGCCTGGTCCCAAATATGCACACTACCATAACAACATGCTGGAGTGAGAGATAAGGGAGGGAGTGTAAAATAAACCCAGTGAGGAGTAGGGGTGCGGTGGGGACAATAAGGGAACACTGTATCAACATCCGGGGTCCCAGACTATTCAACATCTTACCAGAAGCTATCAGAAACATGGCTGGAACAAGTGTAGAAGCCTTCAAGAGGAAACTGGACAAGTATTTTCACCAGGTGCCAGATCAACCAGGCTGTGATGGTTAAGTGGGGCAGCAGGCCTCCAGCAGCAACAGCCTGATTGACCAGGCAAGAACCAGATGAGCCTGGCCCATGGCCGGGCTCCGAGAGTAGTTAAACTCTTGAAACTTTTCAAAGGTAAGGTATGATATTTGAGCGGTGATGTACAAGTGTTACCAAGACATACAGAGGAAGTTCCATACATAACTTTCACTTGAATGCGGGAAAAGACATACAGTACCGTGCAATACATGTATATTATAAATATAATTTGTCTCCATGGGGAAGTGGAACAGAATTCTTCCTCCATAAGCCATGCATGTCATAAGAGGCGACTAAAATGCCAGGAGCAAGAGGCTAGTAACCCCTTCTCCTGTATACATTACTAAAGTTATGAAGAAGAGAAACTTTTGTGTTTCTTTTTGGGCCACCCTGCCTTGGTGGGATATGGCTTGTTTGTTGAATGAAGAAATATAAATTGTACTTTTTTAATTATTTTGATATACAGTATTTTATGTTGTTATTGCACAAAGTAATATAAAGAAAAGGTAAGTGTCTCATTAAACTTGAGGTTTAAGATCAGCATCCGAGTTAATGTGCATGTTTCCTTTATGATAGCTAGTTTTAACAAATAGTAATAAATGATATTTTCCCTTAGATATTACACATTTGCACTTTAATAGTTTTTGTTAATGAAACTTTTTTATTATGATAGTGTATATTAAATTGAAGATGCAATCTCAAGTAAGGATGTTCATTAAGTGATTTTGAAACCTTTTTCATTACTGTAGTCTGAATCATGTGTTTCTGAAGGAGTCAGGGGTGGAGAGCCAATTATTGTTCAGCCCCTTGTTAATTCTTATGCTTTTGTTTTGCTGATTCATGTTGAATTGCCAACTCTCATTCTATGTCCTTGCTACTGCTTTCTTGCTTTGTGTATATTTCATGATGAGGCAGTATTTGCTTATTTTACACACATACAGACAAGTGTAATCTCTTGCCTCTTGTTCGATTACAGAATTTACACATTAACCCTTTCACTGTCAGTCACATAGATCTACAAATAATTCATAGCATCTTCAAATTTGCTGTGAATGGCAAATTTTGTCCTAGACATGAGAGAATGTCTGTGGTGGGTGTGTAAAGTATAAAAAACAAAAATCCTGCCTCACCCAGTGAGGCACTTGGGTTAAAATAGCTACTTTATTTTTTTAGGGTGGTTTTCATGATTTTATGACTGTCTTATTGTCAGGAGAGTGAATTAATACTAGTGATATAGAAAAGATATGATTAATAAACAAAGGGAAGGTTTCTCTAGTGGCTGGTATGCCTACAAAGTTTGTTTTGGAATGTTTTTAAATTGGAATTTGTTGAAAATAGTGTAAAATGGGCCAAATTACTGACTGCTGGGTGTTTAATAAGGTAGTTCAGATGGCTGAATGGGCATTTTTGTGTGTGATCAGTGAATGGTACCAAAAAATAGGTCTCACACTGGTGAAATTGCTCTTGCGTAAAGTGCTCCTGACATCTAACTTTGTGCCTGTGTAATTCTTAAAGTATTACATCAGATTTTGCATTTATGGTGTCATTACTTTTGGTACAAGATTTGGTACCATATTAGAAGATAAAATAATTTTTTTAATGGTGACGAAGAAGTGGGTCTTGACAGTGAAAGGGTTAAGTATTTATTTTGACTCTTATGCGTGAAGATATAAAAGTATAAAGATAGAAACCCGAACAGAAGGCATAACACTATTTAAGTCATAAATAACTACTGATTTATCCAAATTACAGAAAATAACTTTGTAAGTTTGTTTGGTATGTAATATTCTTTCTTTTTTTTTTTAAAGGTGGAGGGTGAAACGAAAACAAATCCAGGAGATGTAATAAGGCAAGTGCGGTTGTGGGGAAAATTCTGCGAGTTAATTGTTATTTTAGGGGCTAGTCTTAGAGACATTTTAGATCGGTGGGCTGAGGGTAAAGGTCCATTAGCTAATGAGTTCACCCCAGATGAAGCAAAGCAGCTTATCAGAGCTCTCTTTCAGAACACTGATCGCAGAGCTCAGGTTTTAGCCCGGATAAAGTGATTTTCATATATTTTAACTCCACTTCCCATTTTTGTAAGATCTTTAGTGGTAAATATTTTCAACTTTTTTACATTTTTGTATACATGGTTTTTCTGACTTATACCGTCTTGTAGTGAAGAGCATATTTTGATGTGCATGCATAAATTTTGTTTCAGTACTGAAGATTAAAGTGTTGGATAATTATAAACACGAGTATAAAATGGTGTTGAACCACGTGAAGTATAATTTGAATGTTATTCATAATTCATTCAAACTGTTTTTTGCAGTAAAATTTATAATAATTTTGAATTGTCCAAAGCATTTTTCCATATGAACAATAATTTGTGCCTTTTTCCAAACCTGTGATAACACACTTGGGTTGAATGAAAGAAAAAATAGCTTCTACACTAATAAATAAGTAGGTAAAAAATTATTTATTACATAATCAAATAGGCCAAAACCCTCAAAATTGGTACTGTATTTTATGAGCTGTTTAAGATTTATATTACTATTTGACAAAAATGAAGTGGCTTTAAATACACACATTAAATTATATAGTAGTAGTTTGAACTTAGCACAAAAGATCTTTACAAAAAAGTACTAAAAATTTTTTTTACAAAATTTTCTTCCTCTGAAGATTTGTATATACAGTATCACGTAGAGGACTCGGGGTCATCAGTGATTCGAGAAACCTGCATCATGCAAGTGATGCAAGTTATCATGGCGAGATATAGATTTGTGACTTACGGTAAAAAAAAAAAAAAAAAAAAAAAAAAGACTAACCATAGATGTAAAAGTAATAAGGTGTATATTCCTGCAAAACTGGAAAGGTGATACATGACTAAACATTGGCAGGACTAGTTCTTGTGTACAAGAAAATAAAACTACAAGATAATTAGTGAAAAAGATACAAACAAGGGAATCCTTTATCAGTTAATTTACTGAAGTGCTAGCTTTATTAAGAAAACTATAGTTTCTAATCAGTGAAACCTTGTCCAGTAAATGTTCCCCTTACAGTGACTTTTACCAGAGTTAAGAGCAGACCAGATTATGTTTAGTTAGGGATGCCTAGAGGTGAAAATTTTTCCATGACAGCTAATTATTACCGAGTGGAACAAAATTTCGGAGAAACTGATGAATGCTATGTGAAACTTCAGTGCACATTTTTCATGTACATCTAATTTTAATTATTTTTACAGCTGATCATTAATTTAGTTTCTGAGAATCCCAGGAGCATGAGTATATTCCAGTGGTCTTGAAAAGCATTAACAACACAAATATTTAAAAGTATCATGCCTTTGCTTATATTGTAAATATAAAATTATTTATATTCTTTATGCATTCAGTGACAGTTCTAAGTGCTATATCTTTTGACTAAATACAGTGGAACCTCAGTATGAAACTGAGGTTCATTCCAGAGGGCTGTTAGGATGTCACTCCATTTCAGTATTGAACAAGTTCTTCTCAACCAATTTTCTGTTTGGTTGGCTGTTATCACTAATCTTAGGCTCCATGGTGAGTTGTTTATACAAATAATACAGAAAAGCACCAAAAAAATGCAAAGAAACACGAAATAGTTTACAGCGAAGTTCTGACAGGTCGTATTTGTTTGGTCGAGTGCTGAGCTTCGTTCGAATAGGGAACTGGTCATATACCGAGGTTCCACTGTAATTTAACACTAGGGCATAACTGAAAGATCTGTTGACTAGAGAGAGGAGGGGGTGTAGGGCTGAGCTGTAAATTAGGCCATATCAAACTCTGTACCTGGATATTCTGCTGAAATCTCTCAAATTTTTATTTATTTTAAGGGGAAAGCTCCAAGCCTGTAAGAGTTGTACAGTGCCCCAGGCCTGGGAGGCATTGAGGTTCAGTCTAAGAAATGAGAAAAGTCTAGTGCCCCAGATCAAGAGCCCCCTCACCAGCACCAGCATTGAGGGTCTGTATTGAATTTAGGAAGTCATAGCCTCTTCATGGACATTTAAATAATTTAGAATATATATTTTGATGCTGGTGAAGGATTCTTGATCCACAGATGTGGCTCTATCCTCCCCATCCTTGCATTGGACCTAATTGCCTCCTATTTTCCGTACTTTGTATAACTCGCATGGCTTTAGTGCTTTCCATGGAGGAGTAATATTAAATCTGATTAATGTAAAGTGCACAAAGTTGTCATTTAAATCATAAATCCTGTTTAATGTCAGATTCTTTGGTTGCTCTTGTTGTAGACTAAGAGCAGCAGCTACTCGTGAAACATTAATTACTCCAACTTATATAAAAAAAAAAAAAGGAAAATAATTTAAAATTATTTAACTCTTCTTTATTATAAGGCTCCCTGAAAGTAACAGAAATATTTGAAGTTAATTTAACATTTGAAAGCCTAAACATCAGACCTAGAGTGATGCTATTATGATTTGTTTTCGAGGTTGTCTCCCCGATGGCAGGAGTGGAACCTACCTGGCACTCATTATATACTAAAAGCAATAACAAAAATAGTAAGAGATACTTAAATTTTGTTGATTATTGGTGTAATGATGGACTGACTGCCGTTGGTTGACTACTTTCCCATGAATGTAATGTAATTAACTTAAAGGTATGCTCAGCTGTACCTTCATATAAGATTATGTTAAGTAAAAGGGGACATGTGCAACTGACATTTTGTGCAAATGTTTCACTCTCCAGGAGCTTTGTCAAGCCATGATAAAGTTCCTGGAGAGTGAAACATTGCCACTATAAAATATCACATTGGTTGCACTTGTGTCCTTTTACCTAACACTGTCAGTAATTCCATCAACGTTATTACTTTTAAGATTGTTTTGCTCGCAAGTTTTATCATGATGGGAACAAACCCTACTAATGCATGTATTCCATCCAGCAAAATGTAGTAGTATGAAGACAACTGCCACTAGGTCAGGTGCTGAGATGGAGTTTGGGATAATGTCACAAGTAGGCATCTGTCTATGTAGAATGAGTTGTACAAAGGGTCTGCATTACTAAAGGCACCCTACTTCTGTGCTGTGGTATTGTGTGATTGACTTATTTCCAGACATTTCATTTTTTCATCAGTAATAGACAGGGTTGTAAAAAGTGAATGCTAGGGTGTTGGGGAAAGGTGTGGGATTACAAGATGAAACTAATGCAAGGTGGAAGTTGTCACAGTTACTTTTTGTGGGAGTCTGAAGAGAAGTTGCAAAGATTGGTGGATGAATTTGGGAGATGTAAAAGAAGGAAATTAAGAGTAAACATAGGAAAGAGCAAAATGGTGAGAGCAACAAAAATTTAGGTAATGTAAGACTGGATATCATACTGAAAGAAGGGAGTATGGATTAAGTGAATGTGTTCAGATATTTGGGAATGGACTTTTTGGCAGATGTCTGTGAAAGATGGTGTAAACCATAGAACTGACAAGGGGATAAAGGTAGGTGGTGCACCGACACATCAGTGGAGACAAAGAATGTTATCTATGGATGCTAGAGAGAATGTATGAGAGAATAATGGTATCAACATGTACATGGGTGTGAAGCATAGGTTGTGAATGTTGCTGTAAGGAGGAAGCTGGAGGCAGTGGAGATGTCATGTCTGAGGGCAATGTTTGTGGTGTGAATATTATGCAGAGAATTCAAAGTTGACTTAGGAGGAAATGCAGGATTACTGAAAGTACAGGGTGTCCACAAAAACACTCCCTGATTTCAAACAGAGATAACATGCAACTTAATTGTAATAATATTTCACAATTGGTAGTTTCAAATGCAGGATTTCATTCAGTTTCATGTGGTACAGGGTAGCATTAAAAGCACTCAATGTGCGCCCCTCTGGCTGCTCGGCAAATATTGATGCAATACTCCCAGTTCAGTCCAGACACACTGCAGCATATCTGAAGTTATCATACAAACTGCTTCAGTGATCAAATATTTCAGCTCCTCCAGGGTTGCAAGTAATGGTGGTACGTAAACTGTGCTCTTCACGTACCCCTAAAGAAAAGTCACAAACAGTTATGTCAGGTGACCTCTGCAAGTGGCCTGAGGGGTCACCGGACCTGTTGACGACTTCTTTTTTTGGGGGTACATGAAGAGCACAGTTTATGTACCACCACTACCTGCAACCCTGGAGAAGATGAAAATTTCAGTCACTGAAGCAGTTTGCATGATAACTCCAGATATGCTGCAGAGCGTCTGGACTGAACTGGACTATCGCATCGATGTTTGCCAAGCAACCAGAGGGGCACACATTGAGTACCTTTAATGCTACCCTGTGGCACATGAAACAATGAAATCCTGCATCTGAAGCTACTAACTATGAAAGATTATTACAATCAAGTTACATGTTATACCTGTTTGAAATCAGGGAGTGTTTTTGTGGACACCCCATATGATCCAGAGGGCTGAGGAGGGATTGTTGAGGTGATTTGGACATTTAGAGAGGATGAAACAAAACAGGATGACTTGGAGGGGGTTTAAACCTGTAGTGGAGGTACAGCAGGATAGGGGGCCCCTCCTAGGAAAGGGAGGGGGGATAAAGGTGGTTTTGTATGCAAAGAGCCTGGACATCCAACAGGCATATGCATGTGTGTTAGACAGGAGTAGAGACAAATGGTTTTTATGACAATGTGCTGTTGGACTGTGAGCAAAGTGACATTTATGAAAGGATTCAAGGAAACCTGTTAGTGGGTCTCGAGTCCTGGAGGTGGGAAGTGCAGTACCTGCACTCTGAAGAAGTGGGGGATATTGCAGTTTGGAGGAGCATCTGAAATGCAGTTTTGGCATGCCTTTGGTAAGATAGTGATGGAGTGACTGATGGTGAAATTTTTTTTTTGTCACCCTATATGTATGTATATATGTATGTAGTTTTGATTTGTTCCTCTGACTTGATAAAACTCTGAAAGCTTGCTTAAAGGTTTATTGTGTTGCATTTTGTTACCATAATGTCCTCCACCCAGTAATGATTACAGGTGTAATGATAGGAAATAAAAAATAACGATTTAGGAGCATATTGTTTTGTTGCCAAAGCTCAATGTACTAATTAAATTTTATCATTTACAAATTTATTCACAGGTACAGAAGTTAAACAAATAAAAATTGAAGCACAGAATGGTACTCATGGTCAAGGCTCATAATTACAGTACAAATACTATAGTATGTATCCCAGGACTTCACTTACCTATATAACTATTATAAATTTCAAATGCTTAACTATTCTTTAGACCTATATCCAGAGCTTGTGTGTGTGTGTGTGTGTGTGTGTTGAATGCTTGACAACACAAAGAATTTTTACTAATGAAAGAGACTAATATAAAAAGCCGGAGGTTCCACAATAACCCACGTGGGTGGATGGGATGCCATCCCCAACCATATTGCCTCCTTTCTGGTGTGTTACCTGAAGGGACTGTAAATCCACAAAGATTACCTGTAATGAAGTCTGTAGTCCATTGTGATAGCAAGAGGGTTACTCATCAGGTACCTCTACTTCTCCACTGTCAACAGCAGCCTGCAATTCTTCTGGACCCTGGCCATCTATGGTACAACCAATGCTTCTGGCAGTACCCAGAATTTCCTTGATGGTACCAGCAAGAGTTTTGGCTTGGGAGCGGGGCCTCATGATGCGGGCAATGTTGATCACTTCATCAAAAGTTATATTGCCATTGTGTTTAACATGTTTCACCTGTTGAGAAATTTACTCATTAATAGTCACTTGTGTTAATTTACATTAAATTATATTTTTTAGTGAATGCCATTTAAAAATATATGATACAACCAGAAAATACAGTATGCAAACATATTTGCAACGTAAATGAAAATATCTATGCTGAAAATATTTGAATTGCAATACAGTACCTAAGTGGTTTATGAATTTTAACTACTATGTACGCTCTCATGATCTCCGCAATCCTTCCATTTATAGAATGGTCACTGATATTAGTAGACATTCTTTATTTGTTCGCCGCCCCTGTTTACTCCGTCCCTTCTCTCTTCGCCTTCATTCGCTCTTGTCTTCTCTTCAATTACCACCTTTCTATGTACATGTAGCATCTCACTTTTCCCTACCCCCCTGGGAAGTTCCAGCTGTTCGAGTCTGTTCTTTCTCTCTCCCTTGCTCAAAAGCCCAACTGTCTACGGTCGCTTACCGCTCTCTTTTTCTTGACCACTTTCACTCTCATTCTCATGCCATTGTTGTGTACACAGATGGCTCTAAGTCTTCTGACGGCGTAGGATTCGCAGCAGTGTTTCCGGACAGCGTCGTACAAGGGCACTTACTATCTTCGGCTAGTATTTTTACTGCTGAATTGTACGCCATCCTTACAACACTTATCCGTATTGCATCTATGCCTGTGTCATCATTTGTGGTTGTCTCAGACTCCCTTAGTGCTTTACAGGCTATACAGAAATTTGATACACCTCACCACTTAGTCCTCCGTATCCAACTTTGGCTACGCCGCATCTTTACCAAGCATAAAGATATTGTTTTTTGTTGGGTCCCTGGTCATGTTGACATACAGGGCAATGAACAGGCAGACACTGCTGCGCGGTCAGCAGTACATGACCTACCAGTTTCATGTAGAGGTATTCCATTTACGGACTATTTTGCTGCAATATCTTCCCAACTTCACACCCGTTGGCAACAACGTTGGTCTACTATGCTCGGCAACAAACTTCAATCTATTAAACCGAGTATAGGTTACTGGCCGTCTTCTTATCACCAGTGTCGAGGTTGGGAGACTACTCTCTCCCGTCTTCGCATTGGCCATACTCGTCTTAGTCATGGATATCTCGTGGAGAGGCGCCCTGCTCCTCTCTGTGAGAATTGCCAAGTTCCATTATCAGTCAGCCACATTCTGTTGGACTGCCCATTTTATCAACGAGCACGCAGAATTTACCTCCGTCGTCGTCTTCGCTCTGCTGCTCTCTCTTTACCTTCCCTTCTCGCTGATGGACCCACCTTTCATCCAGACTCTCTCATTGACTTTTTGACAACAACTGACTTACTTCACAAATTCTGATACCTTCAGCCCTTTCTACTTCAATCTCTTGCTACCCTCTACCCCCGTACTATCCCCTGCCCCGCTGTTTTCTGTAACCTACTGATCATCCCTCCTCCCTTCTGCCATCCAATACCCTCGCTTCCTTCCCTACCCTGCAGCGCTGTATAGCCCTTGTGGCTTAGCGCTTCTTTTTGATTATAATAATAATATGAATTTTAACATTGCCATTATGAAACACGAAGGAGGAAGCCTCAAGAAACTAGATTACCTTTATAGTGGGGAAAGGAGATACTGGAGATTATGCTAGAAACTACTAATCCCATGGTCACTGTTGCAATGTTTAGCAGCATAACCAAAATCACTCATAACTGCTGCTTACTCCCATCAACTGGATGTCTGGCAGATTAGTAGCTAGGAAATATGAACCTGCAATCCACTCAGCAGTATCAGTACTGCTAGTGCTTTATGCCACCCATCCAAGTAAAATATTACTGATTGCTTTTTCTTCAATTTCCTATCCTTGACTGTGAATGCAAAGTTAGTTATTTTCTATTGTGAAAGAGGCTAAAATCTACATGCAGTTGCCCTCAGTCAAACTGTAGCTTAGAGGTGAGCAACCTGTTTCTGTTTCCCAATCTGTCAAGAAAGAAGGTTGAAACTCCATTGAATTTTACCACTTTTGGTGCTGCCTTTGAATGTGTTCCTGCTGTGTACACTACTTTGTCATTCTATTAGAAATGTGGTCCATGACAGCTTAGAGATTGAGACATTAGAAAATACTGTATCTTTTAAAGTGCTGAATGGCCCAATTTCTAATATAATGCTGTATGAACCTAATGGGTTTAGCACTTGGTTTTTGATTATAATCTAATATAACAATAACTTCTTGAATAGTCTACTATTGGAATCGAGTCCAGCAGAGGTATGCCAGCAGTCACTTCTGCTATGTCCAACCATGGGGGCAATGGCTACCCCTTCACGAGTGCCCTTAGCCACCAGCATCCCCCCCCCCACTATAGGACCAAAATTGAACAGGTTATTGAAAGCTCTCTTGCCAACTATAACTTTATGCTCAGTTTTTGATAACCTCCATTCTCATTCTATTGCAGTGTACACTGTTGGTTGTAAATTCCCTGATGTTGAGTATGCAGCAATTTTCCTTGAAAAAAAAAAAAACATCCTACAAGGTCATTTACTAATCTTGACCAGTATTTTCGCAACAGGGTTGTATGCAATTCTCTTGAGACATCGTACATATGGCATTGATGTACACCTTGTTATTCACAGTTGACTCCTACAGTGCTTTACAGGCTATCCAGACATCTGACTTCATCCCATCATCCTCCTTGCAGTTCTAACCCCTCCCCTACTCTTCAACAGGTTTACTGTTTTTTTCTATGAATACAATAAACTTAGAAATATATTTAACTATATACGCACCTTCTTTCTGTCTCTGTGTGGTTCCTTGAGGGCGCGGATAAGGAGCGCTGCAGCTGAGGGCACCACCTCCACTTGTGCCTGACGGTTTTGGATGGTGAGCTGCACCGTCACCTGCAAACTCATTTCAAACATTTTTAAGCATAACACCCAAATGCTTCTCATTCAAATGAAATGCATTACTTTGTGAGTTCTGTCAAAATGAAAGCACAGTATAAGGGAGGTTCCTTGATGACTCGATGCCAGTGTGGGGCGCTTGGCCCAGAGAATTGAATCTGACCTCCCCTTCCTTGGACTGAACCCGATTGCCTTTCATTCCCTCAGGCACTGTATGACCCCTATTGGTTTAAAGCTTCCCTTTCACCATAAATGTAATAATTTATGTCTTCTAGTGGGTTTAGTTGAAGTTTTTCATGAAAATAAATTCTCTTATGTGCTAAACATTATTTTTTTTTTTTATCAAACTAATATGTAGGAGTTTTAATTTGCTTTTGATGCTCAGCAATAGCTACTGAAGTGAAACTTCATAATTTATAAACACAAAGGTAAACCAATTTGATGAAGTCTCATAATCTAAGGAATTAAAGTTACTCTTCTCTTCCTTGGATGACACACTGCCACCCATTCCCAAAGCACTGTATGATCATTCTGGATTCAGGGATTCTTAGGAATTATTGTGTGTGTGTGTGTGTTTATATATATATATATATATAATATTATATATATATATATATATAATATCAGTGGACCCCCGGTTAACGATATTTTTTCACTCCAGAAGTATGTTCAGGTGCCAGTACTGACCGAATTTGTTCCCATAAGAAATATTGTGAAGTAGATTAGTCCATTTCAGACCCCCAAACATACACGTACAAACGCACTTACATAAATACACTTACATAATTTGTCGCATTGGGAGGTGATCGTTAAGCGGGGGTCCACTGTATATATATATATTATATATATATATTATATATTATATATAATTATATATATATTATATACACATAATATATAAATAAAACCCTTGTGTTATTCTCAAAACTGAAGGCAATTTTATGGGTACAAGAACGATTTTCCAATGCAGTATAATTTTCTCCACTTACGTGAATTGGTTATGCGATGTCCTATTTCTTTTGGTAATTCTGCACATGCAATATATACACAATATGTAATTATGGTGACCAGATCTATTCAGCGGCCTCTCCTGCTACTCTCTCTAGCCTTAACCCCATCCATCACCAAGGATTACGTTTATGCCTTGGTGCTTTTCGCTCTTCCCCTGTTGAGAGCCTCTATGCAGAAGTGAATGTTCCATCCTTGTCTGATCGCCGTGATGCCCATTGCCTTTGCTACTATGTACGCTCTCACAATCTCTGCAATCCTTCCATTTATAGAATGGTCACTGATATTAGTAGACTTTCTTTATTTGTTCGCCGCCCCTGTTTGCTCCGTCCCTTCTCTCTTTGCCTACATTCGCTCGTCTTCCCTTCAATTACCACCCTTATATGTTCATGTAGCATCTCGCTTTTCCCTACCCTCCTGGGAAGTTCCAGCTGTTTGGGTCTGTTCTTTCTCACTCCCTTGCTCGAAAGCCCAACTGCCTACGGTGGCTTCCCGCTCTCTTTTTCTTGACCACTTGCACTCTCATTCTCATGCCATCACAGTGTACACAGATGGCTCTAAGTCTTCTGACGGCATCGGATTCGCAGCAGTGTTTCCAGACAGTGTCGTGCGAGGGCATTTACTATCTTCGGCTAGCATTTTTACTGCTGAATTGTATGCCATTCTCGCAGCACTTATTCGTATCGCATCTATGCCTGTGTCATCATTTGTGGTTGTCTCAGACTCCCTTAGTGCTCTACAGGCTATATGAAAATTTGATACACCTCACCCCCTAGTTCTCCGTATCCAACTTTGGCTACGCCGTATCTCTACAAGCATAAAGATATTGTTTTTTGTTGGGTCCCTGGTCATGTTGACGTACAGGGCAATGAACAGGCAGACACTGCTGTGCAGTCAGCAGTACATGACCTACCAATTTCATATAGAGGTGTTCCATTTCCGGACTATTTTGCTGTAATAGCTACCCACCTTCACATCCATTGGCAACAACGTTGGTCAACTCTGCTCGGTAACAAACTTCATTCTATTAAACCGAGCATAGGTTACTGGCCGTCTTCTTGTCATCAGTGCCGAGGTTGGGAGACTACTCTCTCCCGCCTTCGCATTGGCCACACTGGTCTTACTCATGGGTATCTCATGGAGAGGCACCCTGTTCCTGTCTGTGAGCAGTGTCAAGTTCCAGTATCGATTAGCCACATTCTGTTAGACTACCCTCTCTATCAACGAGCATGCAGAATTTACATCCAACGTCGTCTCCGCTCTACTACTCTCTCTTTACCTTCCCTTCTTGCTGATGGACCCTCCTTTAATCCTGACTCTCTCATTGACTTCTTGGCAACAACTGATTTACTCCACAAACTCTGATGATACCTTTCGCACTCCCCTCAGCCCTTTCTACCTCAATCTCTTGCTGCCCTTTACCCTTTCACCATCCACTGCCCCGCTGTTCTCCGTAACCTATTACTTATCCATCTCCCTTTTGCCACCTGATACCCCCACTTCCTGCCCTGCAGCACTGTATAGCCCTTGTGGTTTAGCGCTTCTTTATTATAATAATAACAATATGTAACTGCTTACTACATTCATGAGGAAGTGCTATGGAGAGACAGTGGTATAAAATACTTATACTGCAATTGTGTCTTTTTACAAATCGTGTATCATTCTTTATAAATAATGGTTTGCCCACAAAGTGGGCTTTATTAAAATCATAAACCCAAACCTAGAGGGAGGGTGAGTACATATATGGGAGAATGGCAAGGTGCAAAGAGGCAGGCTAGAGATCAGACAAATGATGGGTGTGGGAGGTTATCTTGGGTCAGCAGGTCCATGCCAACGTTCCTCAGAACTTTTACTGTATGGGAAGATGATCTAGAAGCTTTCTGACAAGAGGCTCAGCTATGTTATAAAATCAATAGTTCTGGCATAAATTGTTGGATGCAATGACTGTTTATTCTAGGATTCTGCCTCGCTGGTGTCCTCTTCCTTGGCAAAAGTAGTCACTGTGAAATGCTGGCATTATTCAAGATGATTTCTGCTGACATTGTTCAGAAATGATTTTGTGATCTCTGGATGTATCATATACTTATATTTGTTACAGTCATTGCAAGGGATAGTGTATACTCCTGCAGTGGTTTTGTTTTGTTAGTGGTATCCCTTTCTGGTGATGCCTTTGACAGTAGCCGAGGCAGTATTACCTGGAGTTTACCTGGAGAGAGTTCCGGGGGTCAACGCCCCCGTGGCCCAGTCTGTGACCAGACGACCTGGTGGATCAGAGCCTGATCAACCAGGCTGTTACTGATGGCTGCACGCAAACCAACATACAAGCCACAGCCCGGCTGGTCAGGTACCGACTTTAGGTGCTTGTCCAGTGCCAGCTTGAAGACTGCCAGGGGTCTATTGGTAATCCCCCTTATGTATGCTGGGAGGCAGTTGAACAGTATGGAGGTAGGTCTGACAACAGAATTGTTAGAGAGGACTGTGAATGCTCTTTCAGCAGTATCTAGTCTGGGTGAATTAATGATTTTATGTGAATGGCCTCTGCAATCTCTAATGTTAAGGGTAGTGAAGTTTAGAGAAGACTTGTTTGAGTTAAGAGCATTCTTTAAGGGAATTTGCTACTGCAGATATGAGAGCACACAGGAAGAGGCCAGTGATGATACCATGTATAGTTATGGTGTCACCCTGGAAGTAAGACAGTGTGTTTTGGTTGGGGGGGGTTATGGAAGACTTGGAAACATAGTTCATAGTCAGATTTGCAAAGAACATTGAGAAAAGGAAATGCACTGTCAATTTCCTCTTTTAGAGAAGAGTGGATTGAAGGTTTGACCTGGTTGAGCTTGTGTTGGGGTGTAAGGATGTCGCATCTTTTAAAAGTTATGACAAGTATGCATACTCATAGATGATGCAGTGTTACTACACTCCACAATAATGTTAACCAGGTCAAGCCTTCCATCCAATTTACACTTAAGATGAAGTCAATGGCACTTTACCTTTTCAGTCTACCATAAACCCCAACCAATACAAACAGCTCCACTTCACTAAGCCATGATACAAAGATTTAACCTGGCATCATCAGAGGGTACTTCCTATGTGCTCTCTGTATCAGCAGTTGTGAATTCCTATCACTGAATCACCCAAACAAGACACCTGCAAAAGAATATTCACAGTCCTCCTCTATTAACAACTCTACTATCAAACATTCCCAATACTGTCTTCAACACTAAATTCTAAGCAGCCATCACTGCTACTATAATCAAGGACATCACACCTGGGATAACCAAGAACATAAAACTGCAAGAATATACACGATCCTATACAATGACCAACAAAATATATGTAGGCAAGACATATAGACCTCCACAAAGGCATTTCTGAACACCAATAAGCCAGCAGAGTTAATGGCTTTTGTAATGCTTGTATTTCACATGAAACTAGTACCACCACTTTATTAATTTCTATGGAGCACCATGCATTATCAAAGAGGACGACACCCAGAGATGCAGAATCCTAGAATCGACACTCAGTGTATACAACAATTTCAACCAGAAGAGATTTTACAGCATAGCTGAGCCTATTGCCAAGCTTACAGATCATTATCCAACGTTACAGAAGTTCATAGGAGCACTAGGTTTAGCGCTTCCTTTTTATTATTATAATAATAACAATCAGAGGAGCACTTCAATGGACCTCCCAATCCAAGTCATGCACCCTACACCCACCACTTGTCTCTCCACCTTGCCACACACACACACTCCCCGTATATATTCCCTCCTCCCTCCCTCTCTCAAAGTTTATCTGTTTGTGATTTGATAAAGCCCACCGTGTCGGCAAAGCCTCAATAATGAATTACAATATACAGCATTTGTGTTTTTTTTATTACCAGGAAGCACTAAACCCAATGGGATCATATTTGTATGACCCTTTTGGTTTAGCACGTAGTTATGATAATAATAGGGATCATATAGTACCTGGAAAATGGAAGGTAATCTGGTTCAATCCAAGCTAGGATGATAGGTCTAATTCCTTGTATCAAGAGCTCCACACTGACATGAGGGGACCATAGGCTATCAGTGTGGTCCACAAAGCATACTTAAGATTATGTGGAATTAAGGACTGAAGGCCTGACAGCTTAGTACAGCACGAAGACAAAATAAAAAAAAAACTTACTTTGAGGATGAAGTATGTATTGATAAGGAGTGAGCACTAGTATTGGTACCTTGAGTCCCTTCCAGGCTGTGGTGGCCTTGCAGATGTCTTCACCGACCTTCTTGGGAGAAAGACCGAGAGGACCCACCTTGGGAGCCAGGGAGGACGTGGCTCCCACCTCCCCTCCCACAGCTCGCAACTTCACTGTTCAATATACATATTTTGTGTCAATTAAAGGAATGGGAATGCCATGAAGCTACATGAAGCCTTTGATGCCACCGAACTTACGTAACTGGAAGATTGAATCTGAAGAAACAAATTTGAAAAAAAAAAAATGAAAGTGATATATGGCTTTGTAGATACACACAAGACAGTGAACAAGCCTGTATTAGAGCAGACTGAAAACAGGTTATGGGATAACCATATAAATTAAACGTTTAAAAAAATAGACATTGTATTTTTCCCTACAGCAACACAAAATGTGACACAGCAATGCAGGAAGACAGGGAATCAACCAGACATACAAGTGTAAACATTATTATTATTATTATTATCAAAAAGAAGCGCTAAGCCACAAGGGCTATACAGCGCTGCAGGGCAGGAAGGAAGCGAGGGCATCAGGTGGCAAAAGGGAGATGGATGAGTAATAGGTTACGGATAACAGCGGGGCAGTGGATGGTGAAAGGGTAAAGGGCAGCAAGAGACTGAACTAGAAAGGGCCGAGGGGAGTGCGAAAGGTATCATCAGAGTTTGTGGAGTAAATCAGTCATTGTCAAGAAGTCAATGAGAGAGTCAGGATTAAAGGAGGGTCCATCAGCAAGAAGGGAAGGTAAAGAGAGAGTAGTAGAACAAAGACGATGTTGGAGGTAAATTCTGCGTGCTCGTTGATAGAGAGGGTAGTCTAACAGAATGTGGCTAATCGATACTGGAACTTGACACTGCTCACAGAGAGGAACAGGGTGCCTCTCCATGAGATACCCATGAGCAAGACGAGTGTGGCCAATGCGAAGGCGGGAGAGAGTGGTCTCCCAACCTCGGCACTGATGACAAGAAGACGGCCAGTAACCTATGCTCGGTTTAATAGAATGAAGTTTGTTACCGAGCAGAGTTGACCAACGTTGTTGCCAACGGGTGTGAAGGTGGGTAGTTATTGCAGCAAAATAGTCCAGAAATGGAACACCTCTATAGAAAATTGGTAGGTCATGTACTGCTGACTGCACAGCAGTGTCTGCCTGTTCATTGCCCTGTACGTCGACATGACCAGGGACCCAACAAAAAATAATATCTTTATGCTTGGTAGAGATACGGCGTAGCCAAAGTTGGATACGGAGAACTAGGGGGTGAGATGTATCAAATTTTCGTATAGCCTGTAGAGCACTAAGGGAGTCTGAGACTACCACAAATGATAACACAGGCATAGATGTGATACGAATAAGTGCTGCAAGAATGGCATACAATTCAGCAGTAAAAATGCTAGCCGAAGATAGTAAATGCCCCCGCACGAAGCTGTCCGGAAACACTGCTGCGAATCCGACGCCGTCTGAAGACTTAGAGCCATCTGTGTACACAGCGATGGCATGAGAATGGGAGTGGAAGTGATCAAGAAAAAGAGCGGGAAGCCACCGTAGGCAGTTGAGCTTTCGAGCAAGGGAGTGAGAAAGAACAGACCCGAACAGCTGGAACTTCCCTGGGGTGTAGGGAAAAGTGAGATGCTACATGAACATATAAAGGTGGTAACTGAAGGGAAGACAAGAGCGAATGTAGGCGAAGAGAAAAGGGACAGAGCAAACGGGCGGCAAACAAATAAAGAATGTCTACTAATATCCGTGACCATTCTATAAATGGAAGGATTGTGGAGATTGTGAGAGCGTACATAGTAGCGCAGGCAATGGGCATCACGGCGATCAGACAAGGATGGAACATTCGCTTCTGCATAGAGGCTCTCAACAGGGGAAGAGCGAAAAGCACCAAGGCATAAACGTAATCCTTGGTGATGGATGGGGTTAAGGCTAGAGAGAGTAGCAGGAGAGGCCGCTGAATGTAGGTGAAGCAGAGTTCGACGATCAGCTCCCCAGGAAAGATGAGCAAGGGTTTTAAGAAGGTTTAGCCGGCTGTGACAAGTTGCCTTCAGAGAGGTAATGTGAGGTTTCCAGGATAACCTATGGTCAAAGAGAAGGCCTAGAAACCTGACTGTATCACGTTGAAGGAGGAGGTCTTGCTTCTCCAGGAGGAGATTAGGAGGCTGAAGGTCCACCTCAATGGGTCTGGGAGAGAGTGTGAGGTGGCTGGAGTTGTGGGGAATGAGGCTTCTAGCAGTGAGGTGCAGTCTGTCTCTCGCTGTGAGGAGGCTGTAGGTGGGGAGGTAGCAACGGCTACCAGCAGTGAGGTGCAGTCCAGCACCTGCTACAAGTGGCGAGTGTTAACCAGTAGTGGGAGGAGAGTCAGAATAAGGAAAGTTAAGAGTGAAGACCTGAAGGTAGGAAATCGCTTCTCTGTTCTTCAGGATGAATGTATTTTCAGTGGCCAGTAAGGAAAGGGGTACACTGCCCCTGCTAACAGAGGTAAGTGCATTTTTGTGGTTGGTGACTCAGGTAAGATATATTGACCGTGCTTTTTATAATAGGAATAAGATGAGAGATAGAGGTGCCTCCCCGGAGCTGGTGTTGGGGACATGTAACAGGCTGGATAATATCATGTCAGGTAATGGGAACAAGCCTATTATCTGTCACATGCTGGTGGAAATGATTTGGGAAGGGTAGGAGAGAAGAGCTGCTAGATAAGTACAGATCAGCTATAGATTTCATTAAGTTTAAGGGAGGGGTCCCAATCATATGTAGCATCTTGCCTAGAAGGGAGTAGGAAAAGAATGGTTGTCTAGGGCAATTTGGGGTAAATTGCTGCTAGACAGATACTGCAAGGAATTGCAATCCCATTCATTGACAACTGGAACAACTTTTTGGCAAACATGATATGTATGCAAGGGATGGGGTACATCTCTCTGGGGCTGGGGTGGTAGCACTTGCAAACTCAATTGAGAAGGCCATTGGTGAAATGCCTATGATTTTAAACTGATAGAAGATAGAGGTATGGGTGTGTGTGGGAAACAAGCAGGTTGCAACACTAGGGTTGGAAACAGTAAATGTATAAAAGGCATTCAGCATGAAGTTATAAATAAAGACAATAGATCAGGTCAGCAAACAAAGGGGGACAGCAGAGGCCAGCAAGGGACTAGCTCCCTTGAGGTGTAAGAAATAAGATAGATGAGCTAAGATTAATTGCAAGTGCAGGAAACAGATATTATTGCTATAACAAGAGACCTGGCTCAATCTGAAAGATAGAGATGCCCTCTGAATGTCACATACAAGGCTATAAATTATTCCACACTGACAGGGTCAACAGGAAGGGTGGTGGAGTAGCGATGTATTTCAGAGACAATTTAAATTGTTGTGTTAGACAAGATATAAAATTAGAAGCGTCGGCCACTGAATCTGTTTGGTTATAGCTTCTCGAGGGCCGAGAAAAACTAATTTTGGGTGTGATTTACAGGGCCCCAAATCTTGATAGGGAGTGCAGTAAACTTCTATGGGACGAAATTCGTAAGGCATCTACATACGAAAATGTTGTGCTAATGGGAGATTTCAACTATAGACAGATTGGAGCAATTTGACAGGAAATTTAGTCAGGTGACTTTCTTGATACGATCCAGGATTGTTTTTTAAAACAGTTTGTGACAGAGCCAACTAGGGGAAATAACCTCCTTGACTTGGTTCTTGCCAGTAGGGAAACACTAATTAATATCTTGAGGTTAATGATGAGCTTGGGGAAAGTGATCACAAATCACTCAGTTTTAATATATCATGGAATTCCCCTAATAATGGCAATCAAGTCTCCGTCCCTGACTTTCGCTTGGCTGATTTCATAGGACTGAAAAATTACTTAGGTGGGCTGAACTGGAATGACCTGACTAAGGGTCAGGTAGGTGGTGATGGTTGCCGATATGACGCTTTCCAGGGCATAGTTCTAGCTGCTCAGTCAAATTATGTTCCAAATAGGGAAATCAGATCAAACAAAAATGATCCTAAATGGATGAACAATAGATTAAAATATCTGATTGGTCAAGAGAGGTATATACGTATAGGCAAATCAAAAGAGGAGAGGGGCAATTAAGAAATCGATATATTCAGTTAGAGAGAGAAATAAAAAAGGGAATTAGAAAAGCAAAAAGAGATTATGAGGTTAAAGTTGCAAGAGAATCGAAGACTAACCCTAAAGGATTCTTTCAGGTATACAGAAGTAAGATCAGGGACAAGATAGGCCCACTCAAAAGTTCCTCGGGTCAGCTCACTGACAGTGATAAGGAAATGTGTAGAATTTTTAACACATACTTCCTCTCAGTTTTTACACAGGGGGATATCAGCGATATTCCAGAAATGATAAATTATGTAGAACAGGACGATAATAAACTGTGCACTATTAGGGTCACAAGTGACATGGTCCTTAGGCAAACAGATAAATTAAAACCTAACAAATCCCCAGGCCCTGATGAACTGTATGCAAGGGTTCTAAAGGAATGTAAAGAGGAGCTTAGCAAACCTTTGGCTAATCTTTTCAACATATCACTACAAACTGGCATGGTGCCTGATAAGTGGAAAATGACAAATGTGATACCTATTTTCAAAACAGGTGACAGGTCCTTAGCTTCGAACTATAGACCAACAAGCCTAACCTCCATAGTGGGAAAATTTATGGAATCAATAATTGCCGAGGCAGTTCGTAGCCACCTTGAAAAGCATAAATTAATCAACGAATCTCAGCATGGTTTTACAAAGGGGCGTTCCTGCCTTACGAATTTATTAACTTTTTTCACTAAGGTATTTGAGGAGGTAGATCATGGTAATGAATATGATATTGTGTATATGGACTTCAGTAAGGCTTTTGACAGGGTCCCACATCAGAGACTATTGAGGAATATTATGGCACATGGAATAGGAGGAGAAATTTTTTCCTGGATAGAGGCATGGTTGACAAATAGGCAGCAGAGAGTTTGCATAAATAGGGAGAAATCAGAATGGGGAAGCGTCACGAGCGGTGTTCCACAGGGGTCAGTGTTGGGATCCCCTGCTGTTCACAATCTACATAAACGACATAGATGAGGGCATAAAGAGCGACATCAGCAAGTTTGCCGATGACACCAAAATAGGCCGTCGAATTCATTCTGACGAGGACATTAGAGCACTCCAGGAAGATTTGAATAGACTGATGCAGTGGTCGGAGAAGTGGCAGATGCAGTTTAATATAGACAAATGCAAAGTTATAAATGTTGGACAGGACAAAAACCATGCCACGTATAAACTAAATAATGTAGATCTTAATATTACGGATTGCGAAAAAGATTTAGGAGTTCTGGTTAGCAGTAATCTGAAACCAAGACAACAGTGCATAAGCGTTCGCAATAAAGCTAATAGAATCCTTGGCTTCATATCAAGAAGCATAAATAATAGGAGTCCTCAGGTTGTTCTTCAACTCTATACATCCTAGGTTAGGCCTCATTTAGATTATGCTGCACAGTTTTGGTCACCGTATTACAGAATGGATATAAATGCTCTGGAAAATGTACAAAGGAGGATGACAAAGTTGATCCCATGTATCAGAAACCTTCCCTATGAGGATAGACTAAGGGCCCTGAATCTGCACTCTAGAAAGACGTAGAATTAGGGGGGATATGATTGAAGTGTATAAATGGAAGACAGGAATAAATAAAGGGGATGTAAATAGTGTGCTGAAAATATCTAGCCTAGACAGGACTCTCAACAATGGTTTTAAGTTGGAAAACTTCAGATTCAAGAAGGATATAGGAAAGTACTGGTTTGGTAATAGAGTTAGTGGATGAGTGGAACAAACTCCCAAGTACAGTTATAGAGGCCAGAACGTTGTGTAGCTTTAAAAATAGGTTGGATAAATACATGAGTGGATGTGGGTGGGTGTGAGTTGGACCTGATAGCTTGTGCTACCAGGTCGGTTGCCGTGTTCCTCCCTTAAGTGAATGTGACCTGACCTGACTAGGTTGGGTGCATTGGCTTAAGCCGGTAGGAGACTTGGACCTACCTCGCATGGGCCAGTAGGCCTGCTGCAGTGCTCCTTCGTTCTTATGTTCTTAACCCTTTAAGTAAGGTGCCTTAATGCTGGTAAAGGGGTATTTAAAAAATTTGGTCACTTTCCTCAGATCAAGCCTAATTGCCAACCATTCCCTGGGGGGCTACAAGACTCCTCCGGGTTTAGCTGCCTTTCTGAGATTTTATGATAATTTATGGAGAGAACATCAATGAGCTTTGTTCTTATTTCCTATGCTTATGACAGGATGATTCAGTTTTCGGGGGTCAGATTGGTATACTCCAGCAATTTTCTTGGTAACGTAAATACTGTCTGTATATCGTTGTGATCGTCGTGGTGAAGGAATTACCTGGAGAGGGTTTCAGGGGTCAACGCCCCCGCAGCCCGGTCTGAGACCAGGCCTCATGGTGGATCAGGGTCTGATCAACCAGGATGTTACTGCTGGCCGCACGCAAGCTGACATACGAACCACAGCCCGGTTGGTCAGGTACCGACTTTAGGTGCCTGTCCAGTGCCTTCTTGAAGACAGCCAGGGGTCTATTGGTAATCCCCCCTTATGTATGCTGGGGGGGGGGGGGCAATTGAACAGTCTTTGGTCCCAGACACTTACTGTGTTGTCTCGCAGTGTACTCGTGGCGCCCCTGCTTTTCATGGGGGAATGTTGCATCTCTTGCCGAGTCTTTTGCTTTCATATGGAGTGATTTTCGTGTGCAGGTTTGGTACCAATCCCTCCAGGATCTTCCAACTGTATATTATCATATATTTCTCTCGCCTGCATTCAAGGGAATACAGATTAAGGACCTTCAGACGTTCCCAGTAGTTTAGGTGCCTAATCGCACTTGTTTGTGCCGTGAAAGTTATTTGTACACTCTCCAGGTCTGCAATGTCGCCAGCCTTGAAGGGGGCCGTTAGTGTACAGCAGTATTTCAACCTAGAGAGCACAAGCGATTTGAAGAGAATCATGGGCTTGGCATCCCTAGTTCTTAAGGTTCTCATTATCCATCCTATCATTTTCCTAGCGGATGAGGTAGATACATTGTTGTGGTCTTTGAAGGCGAGATCCTTACGTGTTCTTTTAGTTCATTAGGTCTGAAGCCTATCAATTCCACTTAGGCCATTAATTAAAGCTACAATTCACATTTACACTTTTTAAATCGTATTAGATGAAGACAACAGTAGTCCTCCTTGAAATAATAGTGTATGCATACAGCTATAAACCTGGTGTATATACCATTGTTTCCCTTACTATGTTAACCTTAAATCTGTCTATCGAGTACGTGGTTCATTACGGTCTCAATGTATTTAAATCCCTAAAAGAGGTTTGTGTATACACAGATATATCTCATGGTGTATATGCCGTACGCTCTCCTGCTGCTCGAGTCACTATATTTAGCTGTCCCACGCGGCAGGCTGACATGTGCCTGCCAGCGAGCATCCACACGTAGCCATACCTCCCACACTAACTTATCTCTGTAACCATGCATTTTCAGAGGGTAATTTTTGATGACATAAAAGTCATGGGCTGACCTGTGCATGCAATTAGGTTATACTCAAGTATATATGGCGGGAAACTAATCTTTTATGTCATATTAATGTCCCGTGGCTCGGTTGGTAGTGCACTCATCTCACGGGTGGAAACGTTGGGCATATGTCCTTATACCTGCTGTCCCTGACCACCTAGCAGTAATTAGGGACCTGGGTGTTAGTAGACCGTTGTGGGTGGCATCCCAGGTGGTGGCAGTATACCTTGGATAGGGCTGGGCTTTTCAAATGAATTGAGGTACGATAACAGCTCTTGGCCTGTATAAATGGTGCACAAAAAAAATGATATGACTTCTAAATGCTCTCGATTGTTTTAAAACAGACAGGTATTATGTCTATATGGACTGCAATTAAGAGCAGGCACAAAAGTTCAAACACTAAACACTACTAATGGAAATAAATCACGCTAACTTTGGTCAATTACCCAAACCTATAAATACATAATTTATTACCAATGCACATCTATCACAGTCCCTGTAAGACCCATTGTGCAAGTTTATGATACTATCTATAAATTTGTTTTAAATTTTCTGAATAAAACTTAGTTTAAAACAACTTTTTGGCCGTTTGGTTAATTGTCCAATGCTGATGCTATAACAACGCAATCAGCATATATTATCTTCGCGTAAAAGGTTTTAAATTTAACCTAGAATTGCCCAATAGAGTCTTCCACTAGAATGCTGTTACCCACATTAGCCGACTAATTCTTAGATACAAATATATATTTACTGTGCAGTAAATATAGTCATCAAGTGTAATTTTATGTTTAAATCACCACCTACCTGAGAATCGCTTCTCAGTTCTGCCGTCTGAGAGCCTAAAGTTTTACCACTGTTTTATCCCATAATATATTACTCACCAATCTTTATTTCTGTGGGATCAAACTTGGGCGCCATCTTAGGAGCAGGGCAGAGCTAGAGAAGATGTGATCACTGTCAAGACTGGTCTGAGAAAGGCAGAGTGGTGGCTGCCAGCCAATGTTGGCATCCAACGTGGGGGGCAGTGCGGGGGTCAGGAAGTGAGCAATGTAGGGAAATATTTAAGTGAATCAGTCGCTGATGAAAACTTGAACCCTGCATTATGAAGAGTAATCAACTTTAAGAAAGCTTGAATGAGATATAGGCAAACTCCTGATCGTAACCAAAAAAGTTAGTCCTGGGCGGGTGGAGACGACCTGGACTCTCATATACCTTATCGGACCTCTTCGCCTTTGCCCAAGTATATAGTCTCTTAACCTGAAATGGCTTGTTGCACATGCGAAACGTCTAAATGAAGTTTCCTTTAACCGCAATCTATGCCCATTATTTACAAACTGTTTACACACACGACCCCTTCAATCACATACAAGTACAAATAGTCGAGTCCTAGAGCCTGTGCTGTTTCTTGTATACGTGAATAACTTGACAGAAGGGATAGTCAGAGGTATCCCTGTTCGCAGACGACGTGAAAGTAAGGAGAATACAAGCGGACGAGGACCAGGAAAGGCTACAAATGGATCCGGATAGGCTGCAGGCCTGGTTTGACAAATGGCTCCTGAAGTGTATCTCCGCCAAGTGAAAAGTTATGAAACTTAAGGATGGACAAAGAAGGCCACAAACTGAGTACACGTCCGGGGGTCAAGGCTACAAACATCACTCAAGGAGAAGGGCCTTGGGGTGAGTATCATACCGAGCATATCCCTTGAGGAGCACATCGACCAAATAACTGCTGCAGCAAATGAGAATCTGGCAAATATAAGAATAGCGTTTCGACCTCTAAGTAAGGAGTCATTCACCACAATGTACATCGTGTCCGTCAGGACCATATTGGAGTACGCAGCGTCAAGGCAGCCCTTTGCTGAAGTAGTTCCAGTCAGGATCAGAAATGTTACTTTTGGTTTTAATGAAAGAAGGGTTAAACTAAAACAAAAGCCATTTACATTACTTAGATGTTACATATCGCATAAAAACATTTAAAAATAAAGTTCTAAACCAATACATAGAACACTTAACTCTGACATAAACGCTCCCCTCAAACATCTTACAAATCTCAACAGAACACATGACCATAACACAAGGCACAGATCACTCTTTGATGTTCCTCGTGTCCATCTCACGCTATGCAAAAACTCAATGCACATAAAAGGCCCTAAAATCTGGAATTCATTACCTGTGAATATAAAAGAAACACTGTTTATAAATTCAAGTCTCTTCTCAAAAATCACTTACTCACCCACAACTAAATAATACTGAATAATTGTATTATCATAAATTGTACCTCATTATTGTATCTCATAAATGTCAACCTGTGACCCAATCAAACTTTGTTACTATTTAACTTCATTACCTAACAGAATACTCCATTCTACTGATTACACAGCAACACAGTAAATGACCGTATGACCTGTCTTTATAATACTCATTTGTACTAAATTGTTATCTGTTTTACAATAATTTTTGTACCACTGAATATATCATTCTTTGTTAATCTTAAGTTAATTTTAAGCCTGCCCATAATGGTCTGCATACAAGGGGCTTTGGCATGCTGCACTTTAAAAATTGTATTCCTTGCACTTCTCTGTATCATGTTCAAATAAATAAATAAATAAATATGGTCATTGAATGCTACATGGTAAGAGAAGAGGGGGTGATTTCGTTAAGGATTACAGATGTGGAAGGTTATTAAGTGTGAAGGGGGTCATTATTATCCTGGGAAGCGCTAAAGCAGTAGGGATTATATAGTGCCTGTGGGGAAGGGCGGAAGGCATTCAGACTTAATTCAGGGAATGGGAGCACAGATTCAATTCCCTAGATCAAGAGCCCCTAAAGTCAGTGCCGGATCAGCCGGGCTGTGGCTCGTACGTTGGACTGCGTGCGGCCAGCAGTAACAGCCTGGTTAATCAGGCCCTGATCCACCGGGAGGCCTGGTCATGGACCGGGCCGCAGGGGCGTTGATCCCCGGAATAACCTCCAGGCCCCTCGCCTGCATCAAGGAACCTACCTCCCTTGAGGGGAATGGGGGAATCATAGTTGGCGTAGTAAGTTTCAGTTAAAAGTCATAGTGAGTATGTATTAAACATGGGACATTCAGAATAGAGGGCAGAATATTTTCATGGGGAAGTGCAAAACCCGTAGGGATCATGAGCAAAGGAGGTAATTAGTTTGTTCCAAGGAAATGGAATGTTGCTCGTTCCATACTATGAAGAAGCGCTAAACCCATAGGGATCATATAGCTTCTGGGGAAAGAAATCATGTTTGATTCAAGGAATATGAAAACAGGTCCGATTCCTAAGATGAAAAGCCAGTTAATATTGAGTTCAGGTCCTGGTCTGAGTTGATCGATAATTTATTCTTTAAAATATCCAATATTAGAGAGTTGGGTGGGTTAATTTTGTGGAAATAAGAAACCTAACTTAAAATAGCCTAACGCCAGTGGTTTATATGGGAATGGCACATCTTTGTTTACTGTCGATGCGTCTTTGTTTACGTTGCTGTGATTGGCCAGACGTGTTACAAGACTCGGCACTAGAGCAAAAATGCACGATAGCAATAGTTTCCAGGGTATACGATAGATAACATACTTATATTGTATCTATCACACTGAGTTCAGATCAGGACCTGAACTCAATATTGACCTAATATACCATCACCTGTAGCCCTGGTCATGGGCCGGGCCTCGGGGGCGTTGATCCCCTGAACCCCCCCCCCAGTACACCAGCATCAAGGGAAAGGGCAAGATAGGAATACAAAACTGGCCGACTTCTTCGACTACTACTATACTACACTACCTTCTATAATAATCTATTTCTGCAAAGCACATGATACAACTGATACAGACCTTAGTTTACACTACTGACATATTTTATAGAAAGCACCTAGTTATGCAGAACATTTCTGCATAACCAGGATGCGACCCACAATAGCCAACTAACACTGTGACACCCAAGTACCTACTTAAGCTATAGGAAAAATTCACCCAAACAATTATTTCCCCTTCGGGGATACCAAATTCTGGCAGTCGCTTCAAGGTACCCCCTTCGAGGATACCTAATAATATTTCTATATTCATGGGGAAGCGCTAAACCCACTGGCCGGGTCACCATATGGAAAAGACCTGGGCCGGGGCAGTACTGGCGAATCCAGAATAAACCCATACAGATCATACAATGAGAGGTTATCAAATTCTAACCAAAGAAAGGGAAGGTAGCTCCATTTCCCTGCATCAGCCTCCACCATCAAGGCATTCCCTTGTAGTAAGTTTATTTAGGCACAGGTACACAAAAGTATAATTATTATAGTGTAAATAACCTAGGATACCCCAAAACAAAAAGTCAGACCCACTCAGCTATATGGACAACATACTTAAAAATGATTATTAAACACCAAGCGCTAAACCCACATGAATCTTACCTGTTATTGGTGGATATTAGGTTTCTCTTACACAGGATTCACACTGTGTGAGGTGAGCTCGAGGAATGGCTTCCTCGAGCCATACATACACAAAGTATGGTTGGTGGGCTTCAAGCCTAAACCATATAACCTATTCGCCACCAGTAAAAAACTTTAATCATTAAAATAGGGATTATTATTATTATTATAAAAAAGAAGCGCTAAGCCACAAGGGCTATACAGCGCTGATTAAAATAGGGAATAAAGAAAACTCAGTATATGTATACACTGAGGTATATACCTCTCAAGGTATATACACTGAGATACACCTTTCACTGAATATACCCTGGCAGATGCACATCTGTGTATGCACACTAAGACACCCGTATATAACGATAGGTATCTCGGTGTATATATAGATATATCTCGGTGTATATGCTCATGTAGTGTATATTCCCAAATATACTTTATATACTGAAAGTGTATATACCTAAATATACACCATATATACTAAAATACACTGTTTATACTAAAATATACACTATATACTTTAGAGTATATATTCAAATAGTGTATATACTGTACTAAAATATACACTATGTATATACTGTAATATACTGCATATATTAGTATACTAAAATATACACTATATGTATTTAAATATTGTGTATATAGTAAAATACACTGTGTATATAGTAAACTATACTGTGTATATACTAAAATATACCATGTATCCTAAAATATACTGTGTATGTACCTGGAGAGGGTTTTGGTGGTCAACACCCCCCATGGCCCAGTCCGAGACCAGGCCTCTGTGTATATATACTAAAGTATACACTGCATAATTACAAAAAGATACACATACACCTCATTGTATATACATATGAGTAGACGTATGTATAAGATACATATACACCTCATTGTATAAACATGAGCAGATGTATGTATACACACCTGAGTGTAATGTGTATATACACTGGAGTCCACATATATACATTTGAGTGAACATGTATATACACTGAGATACACACCTCACCACACATACACTGAAGTATACTGGTTATATACTCACTCCATGTATATAACCTTGATTTTATTTAATTTTAATCTGAGAGAAGCACTACACTTGCAAGGATTACATGCTCCCTCAGGAATGGAAGGCATTCAGGTTCAATCCAAAAAAAAAAAGTAGAGATCAGTTCAATTCCACAGATCAAAAGTCCTTCACTAGTGTCAAGGCACCTCTCTTGAAGGGTCAAGGAAGGAAAGGATAAGTCAGTTCCCCAGTCATCACCATACTCCCTTGAGGTTTTTGAAGCTTGAGAATCTTCTCTCAAACTATGTAAGCTGCCCCATACTGTCTACTCACCTTTCAGATGCTGCCCTCCCATTTTTGTAATTTCATGATTGGTAATTAACTATTAAAATTTATATTCATGGCAAAGCACTAAACCCATAGGGGTCATAATCATATGGGGAATAGGTCATCAGGTTTGATACAAGGAGGGTAGTTTCAATTCACTGGATTAAGGGCCCTTCACCATTATCAAGGCACTTGCCTTGAAAGGTAAAAGGGACTGAAGTAAACTTAGCACATATACAGTGGACCCCCGCATACCGTACGCATCACATAACGTTCAATCCGCATACCGCCGCTTTTACCAAAAAATTTTTTGCCTCGCATCCCTAAAAACCCCTCATCGTCTTCGTCCGAACGCGCCCCAATGTGCCCCTTACCCAGCCTAATGTGCCGCCTGTGGCATTGTTTCCCGCCACCCCAGGGGGGTAACTCCAGCATACAATCGCAACTTTTTCGTATTTTACATTTTTTTGGTGTTTTATCCGAAAAAAAGTGACAGGGGCCCCAAGAAAGCCTTATGCCAACCCTACAGCAAAAAGGTGAAAATTACTATGGGTAAGAAAGAGATCATTGATAAGTATAAAATGGAGTGCGTGTCGCCGCCTGGCCATTTTGTAAAAGAAACCCAAATCAACCATCGCTACTATTTGGGCAAAAAAGGCAATAAAGGGAAGCGTTTTGCCAAAGGTTTAACTGTGTTTTCGAAACAGAATCGAAAATGATGGAAATTTTGAGAACTCTTATTGGGTGGAAAAATGAAAAACAGCTAGCAGGAGATCACTCTCAAGCGATCATAAGGAAAAGGTGGAATTCATGGGGATTTAAATTTAAAAAAAAATGCCTGCAACTATTGATAGTAGTAATTTAGGCCCAAAAAATTTGGTTTGAGATTTTTAAGAAGGTAGGGCAACATAGTGTATAAGGCATGGGGCTGCCAGTTCGGCCCCAAAAAGCCTGAAAAATAGTCAGGAATTCAAGGAGTACATAGACAGGAAGGATGAAACCTAACAAGTTTTTAAATTTGGGATGAACAGGCCTTTTTGGAAGAAAATGCCAAGCAGGCCCTACATTACTGAGGAGGAAAAGGAACTCCGGACAAAGCCTATGAAAACGGGCTTACTTGTTGATGTTTTTCCAATGCTATGTGATTGCAAAGTGAAGCCTTTATTTGTGTAACCTAAACTCCCGACCGTTTAGGGAAAAGAATGTCCTCAGGAGAATTTGTTGTGCGTGGAGGGAAACAGTAAAGGGTGGGTACTAGGGCTTTTTCTATGATGGTTACACCATGCATTTGCCCCCATGTGAAAGATTACCCAACTGAAAAAAATTGAACTTAAGTGCCTCCTGGGTTTGAAATGCCCCTGGGCACCTACAGAGTGGAGGCGATTTATGGGGACAGAAATTCTTAAAGGGAAAGTTTTTGCCTTAAAACCACTCCTCCCTGCAGCCCCTGGACCCGCAGGTTATTGCAAACTTCAAAAAACGTACACAAAAGCTGTTTGAAAGGGTTCTTTGTTGACCTCAGAAACCAACGACTCAAGTTTAGGTTTTGGGGAGACACTTTTAAAATTCTCAAAAGTGTAAACCTTATAGGTAAGGCTTGGGAGGGGGTGTAAGAGGACCTTGAACTCGCTTGGAAAAACTTTTGGGCCCGAAATGGTTTGCAAAAGGGATTTGAAGGGTTTGAGGGAACCCTGAGAATCCATTGCCAGTTGAGGAATCCATTATGGCATTGGGAAAGTCCTTGGGTTGGAGGTTAGTGGGGATGATGTGGAAGATTTGGGTGGAGGAGGACAATGAAGAACTAACCACTGATGAGCTGATAGATCAACTTCAACACAAGAGGCCAGACCTGAGGAAACTGGTTCGAAGGGGGGAGAGAGAAATTGAAGAAATTGCCTACTACAAAGATTAAGGAAATCTGTGCAAAGTGGCTTGAAGTGCAAACCTTCATGGATGAAAATCACCCTCACACAGCTATTGCAAGCCGTGCTGGTGATTATTACACTGACAATGTTGTGAAACACTTTAAGGAAGTCATAAAGGAACGAGAGGTACAGGCCCACTATGGACAGATATGTTGTGCGAAAGAAGTCCAGTGACTCTGAAGCTGGTCCTAGTGGCATTAAAAGAAGAAGGGAAGTAACCCCAGAAAAGGACTCGACACCTCAAGTCTTAATGGAAGGGGATTCCCCTTCTAAACACTAACACTCTCTCTCCCCTCCTCCCATCCCATCAATCATCACCAGATCTTCAATAAAAGTAAGTGTCATGTAATTGTGCATGCCTTTTTCAGTTTGTGTGTATTAAAATTAACATTTCATGTGGTAAAATTTTTTTTTTCATACTTTTGGGTGTCTTGCATGGATTAATTTGATTTCCATTATTTCTTATGGGGAAAATTAATTCGCATACCGATCATTTCGCATAACAATGAGCCCTCTTGCACGGATTAAAGTCGCTATGCGGGGGTCCACTGTACACTGAGAGACAATTTTTTTCAGTGTGTATACCCTCTTTGATTTGGCATATTAACTTGTAGCCAAAATGTTGGGTGTCAGCAGGATCTATGAAAGCTTCAAGCAGCACATTATAAATAAGGTCAGACTCCATGGACCATTAATAATAATTCAACCACAAGCATTCAAAATCATGACAGAAGGCAGCTGAAGACTCAAGAGAACTGAGGTGGGGAACTAAACCTGTAATACACACCTACCCATGTTAGCAAATGTAAGTATTGTAATTGAACTGATGATATATTTTGTACCAACATGTAAATTATCATAATTTTAATCAAGCTTGCTGTTTCAATTGCATTTTAAGGGAAAAATTGAGCAAAACCTTGTTTTATTAGACATACAGAGAAAAGCAAGTGCAGTGTCACAAGAAACCTCTTGTAATTGAGGGCATCAATATTACATTTTTTGGGGGGGGGGGGAAGTAAAACCCCTAGGGATCATACAACACCTGGGGGACATGATGAGAAATTTATTATTACTATACTCATGAGGAAGCACTAGACCCACTGGTGTCATGTTCATTACATGGGAGGCAGCACTAAATCATAGGTGTTATACAGTACAGTACCCAGAGAATGGGAGGCAGTCAGGTTTGATCCTAGGAAGTGTAGGCCTAATTCCCTGGTTCAAGAGCCCTTCATCAACATCAAGGCCCCCAATGAAAAGTCACTAATGACTGAATATAGGAGGCCAAACAATACTACAGTACGCATAAGTTGTGAATAAGTGGCAGTACCGCTCACATCACTGGTCTGACAGGCTACTGCTAGTATTTTAATGGATATATATATATAGACAGGTAGCTGTTCCTTACATGGTCCATGAAATACAAATACTGAAATATCTATACTGCACCTGTTCTGGAGAATATTATATTCTTTGTTACATTTCTTTAATGGAAGCTATAAAAAAAAAAACAATAAAATAACAACAAACTAACCTAAAGACAGGTACCAAACATAATTAAAATAAGAAGATTTAAAGAGTTAATAGTGAAGATGTTACCTACATAGTTCACACAAGCGTGCTACCCTCTTTACAAAATAGTTGGCATGCATGTCTCAAGACAACTGGTATCAGATGATGGGATGATAAATTTCCCAACAAATTTATGCCTTATATATCCTGTAACAAAATATTTAACCCAACAAAAGGCAAAAATTAAGATTTAATTTTTTATTAATAACCACTTAGTATAGTTTTAACCCAGGTAATGTCACACTACATTTAGGCAGGGCAATAAATTTCTGATGAATTATACATATTACATTCAAAAGAGGTGCTAAACCGAAACAGCCTATTCAGTTTTGTAAAAGTTCTAATTTTAACTTCTTACATGAGTGATTCACAATACAGAATGAAAGTAAAGGATTATTTATTGATGTGACTGCCTAACATTCATCAGTAAATGAAACACATAGGTAAAAAAGACGTACTCTGATCTGATCTTTATTTTTGAGTATTTCAAACTACATGTTGCATATATATCAGTTCAGCACTGACTATACTGTCTAGTCCCTACCTTGTTCCTTCTATACTAAATATAATCACGACACTTTGAAATTACTCCCTACAACTTCATATATCTCATACAAGACTACATCATCCAGATATATAACAAAGTACACAAACTAGAAACTCTCTAAAAATAGCACATAATTTTCTAGTGAATAATTTCAGCATTTAGTTTTCATCTCTTACCATGTACAAAATGATTATTTTTGTCAAAATTCACAAGATAACCATTTTCTCCAATAACAGCAATAGACAAAACATAATATTGCTTCACTTAATTCAAAACACGTTTGCATAATGGGCAGGCCCTTAGGCACTCATGCTGGGCCTAACTGATGTGAACGACAAGCGTTCCAGTCCCTGTGTGCAAGTTGGTTGAAAACAGATATTCACCTTCATTTAAATGAACTTAGATGTATGATCATGGCTCAACCAACAGTGGCACAGGCCTAACCTGGTTACAACAAAGCCGCCCACATCTGCAGCCAAGGTTCTACCTCACCAGGTGGGGGGTTTCCGTGGCACACACATGCGAGTACAATAGTTGAAAAAACAAATGCCTATCACAGGAGGCAACTCTCCGACCTCAACATAGTATGTGCCAAATGCTCCAATGTGCAACGTTAACTTGTGCATAGTAAAAGGAGTTGATTCTCTCCAAGTTTCAAAGATAAAATAAATTTTTGCACTTTATCTTTTTTTATAAGCAAAGGAATGTTTATTACCTGGCCATGAAATACCTTCAAGGTATTTAGTCAAAACCATTAAGAAAATAATGCTATCCCATTCATGCATTCATATTGGCATTATCTAATTAATTAGACAATTCAGACTGAGAATATTAATGGAACAACTGCCACTGAATGCTAAATAATATAAAGAAATTAAATCTTTATGGTATCCTTCACAGAAGTAAATTCTAGTCAGATATCACCAGTAGCAATAGTTACACAATATATATTCAGTCTGTGACTGGAGTCTGGCATTCTGCTTATCATACAAGAGGTTTGGGACAAGGACTGCAAAATAAAATACAGCTGGAGCTCAAGGGGCAGGATGTGCTAGAGGGGGAGAGGAACCTGTTTAGGCGAGGAACTTGGGTTGCGACATGGCTGCTCCAGTCCTTCAAGACTGGGCTCTGGTAGGAATGGTTTGGAATCTGTTTCTATGCACAGAACACAGGACACTTCAGTGTAGTTAATCTGACACAGAACCAGAGTACCCACTGCACTGCCACTTACACTTGCTGACATCACAAATTTTTTAAATGATTTAGTCCTTTAAAACTAGAACAAGTGTAGCGGCAGCCAGGAGTGGCTGATAGGAGATTAACATGGATAAGGAGGTAGAAGGGTGGGTTTGGGACGGAGGCTGCGCTCCCCGCCGTCAGACTAGCATTTGACACTATCACGACATCACAGCAGCACTTTGCTGCTTGGACCTCCCAAAAGCACTTCGCATGTACACTAGAAATCAAAAGATGGAGGATTTCCCTATCATAAAAAATTCCTTTGACTGGAGAAACCTAAGAAAACAAGAGCAAAATAAGTGATTGTCATAAATGCTACAACCTCTACTACATCATCTTGATGTAGATGGGTGTGGCCACTTTGCAAACAAAGTACCTATCTTTTATTACATATCATCCTGTAAAAAAAATTGTTATTATACAATTCATTATGAAACTAGACTAAACTATCACTTGTGCGAGTGCCCTAGGAGGCCTCAACATAGGACCCACAAAACCGGGGAGCGAACCCTCTACCCTGAGGCATCATCAGGACTACAACATGAAGCATGGGAGAGTGTCTTAAGTGTATAAAATACCATGGTACCAAAATCTTTTGACGTATATATCAATAATAGCAGCAATTACACCAAATTTATACTCTCAATACACTTGAAGACACCGTAAAGTGACAGTCAGTGCTGGGGGTGGAGACCTATCATAGCCAGACCATGGAACAAGAGACTCCTTAAAGGGGGTAGCTTGTTATCACAAAATATTGATAATACTGATATTCTTTCAAAAGAAAGACACATGACCTTTGTTATGATTGGTCCCCAGGCACATCAACATTCATTATCACACTTCAAGGCCACCCAAAGGGCCTAATCATGGCACAGATATTGGCTGCAGTATGATATCCTCAAGAAAACATATCAAAAGTTAAATAAATATAAAGATATTTAAAACTTCAAAGAACTTGTCATGTTAAATTATATTTTACAATAAAATTTAGTACATCATGACAAGCAGGAAACGGACCATGCTGCAACCTACAAAACACGACCACACCAGCACTGTCTGTCCAAAGCTGCGAGGTGGCACTGGGGTTCACATATGGCTGGGGATTTCTTTTACTGGGGGGATTTAAGGATGGAGGGAGCTGCTGAGGAGGCAATACCTAATTCTTATGCATACAGTTTACTTTTCACAACACTTCCACATGAATACACAGCAATGTACAAAAAAAGCATCTTGTTTGTAACTTCATAACTTGAAATAAACCCTTAAATAATACACCCTACATATATATAAAGGAATATGTGTATATGTATTCACCTATGTGTGTATGTGGATTGTTTTGACTCCTGGACCCAGCTCTTGCTGATATCCTGAGCACAAAATCTTTCATGTTGTGATTAGTTAGTCCTGTGAGGTACAAGCATGGTGGCAAAGTACTGTACTTTCTCATATCTGCTTGTGTGGTTAAGGTGTGGGATCCATGTTGATATATCATACTCCAAGAATGGTCTTTCTTAGATGATGTACAAAACTCCTGGATTTCCCTTATGATTCTTAAAGAAATTTACATCTCCCTATACTGTATCTGTTGCTAAAGTTATAGTGGCTATGTGCACTTCAGGCAATAGGTTTAGTGAGATCCATATCTCAATCTCCAGCAAGACTGTTTATATAAAGTACTGTATATCAAGAGCAGTATGGGGGGTCAAATACTACCTCACAAAGAAATCCCTTCATTCTAATACTATCTTATCCAATACCATCTTATTGTTTTATTTTCTATTGAAACAGTGCCTGCACTCAGCCTCCACTGTGTCATTCCCTAGTTTGATACCCTTCTTTATTACCCTTACTCTTTTACCTCTATGCTTGTCCAAGTGCTTAGATTAGTGGATAGAGGATCAAACCTCCACCACTCCTTGCAATGAATGATCCACACCAGTTTAGCACTTTGCATACAGAAACTGAAATTAAAACTGAGCCAAGTGTTTAACTCGGGTCTTTGTCCATGTTTTGTACCCTTCAAGTCAATACCCAATTATTTTATTTGTTGTGATTATGTCTCCACTTTGATATAAGTGTCTTATTATGATAATAATTATATAATGTTCACTAAAAGGTGCTAAACTGGTCTAGGATATTTAATGCTTCTTTCTTGTCAAAGAGCAAGTGCACAGTCTTTCCTGGTACCTTTTGTTTCTAGTTCTGGTACTAATCAGTTTCTCAAGCTTTATGTAGTTACCTATTTGCAGCTATAGGAGTAGAGCTATGTTGGTGAACCATCTTCAGTAGTTGTACCTACTGGAGCAAAGCTATGCTGGAAGAAAATTATCTTCAGTATTTGTAGCTATAGCAAAAGAGCTATACTGATGTCAAATCATAATATCTGCAGCTAAGGAAGCAGCAATGCTTCTTGTGTCACACCTTCACTGCTTGTTGTTACAGGTACAGAGCTATGCTTGTATCCCATTTCATTGTTCTACCACTCTCTGAAAAAAGCTTTCTAGTATTCCTTAGGCAATGCTTATTTAAGCAGTTTTCAAATGTGGGTAATTATATCCTATTATGTCTCCTTCTTTCCTCCTCTTTGTAACTCATATTTTGAAGTTCTGGAACCACTTTGTTTTTTTGTGTGTGCGTGCAGGCATGCATGCGTGCATGTGTGCACATGCATATGTGTGCGCATTTACATGTGTGTTTTTACGTGTGTTTGTGCATATGTGTAAGTAATTACAATACTTATTTGTAGCTACAGGTGCTACAAACAAGTACATAATTACAAATGTGCATGCATGTGGTAACAATAATACTTATGTATAAAAAAAATTAATCAAGTGCAGTAGTAGACAAAACTGATCGATGCTCATACAATGCCCCCCAGCAGCCTCCCTTGTGTTTCCTGAGCTGCCTAACGAGTCACGGGCTACAGGGAATGTCTTTTCATTATTCTATCACCTGTGAGGTAGTAACTACAAATTGGGAAGCAAAAAGACTTGGTTCAATACCACCTATTGCATAGGACAAATATACAGAATTTCTAAAAATAAAAAATACCTCTATAAAGGAGATTACAAAAAAAGCTTCTGTAAAATAAAGAGGAACTTAATATCTACCCTGATATAGTATAGTACATATGAATATCATACCTTCAATTATCACTTGTATGCACCACCAAAATTTGTGGACTTGAGTAGTTGTGCAATCAATAAGTTCTTCAGCTAAGCAGAAGAATTTAGAAAGCTGTACGCAGTGAAGGCAATGCTGCGAAACTTCCTCATTCAAGAGAGAGCAGTCTCATCGCAAAATACTGCTGAATATTTTACATACTGAACATAAAAAAAAAAAAAGAGGCTAGCCAGTGCATACAAGGTCAATCAATTGGCAAAAACAGTGTCTCAGCATTGGCTTATCAATCATTTTGCACAAGTTACTGCATAATCCTGCTCCTCTTCTTAATACCATTGCACGCTTACTATCATCCTATGATGTTTCAAACACTCTTTATGTTCTGCTACTCATAATGTTACCCTTATCAACACTGTGTGCATCAAGGCCAAGACTGACACCCATTTTCTTTTCTTATTGGTGACAAAAAAAATAATTCTTCATTTCTGGCTTATAGTAAGGCAATAAAATTCAAGAATGGGATAGACTGTGGCTTAGTATGTTCTCTATCAAAAAATATACCTCTAGATGTAGTTGAATAACTCTGTACAGTAGTTACATATCGAAAATTGCTGTGCATTATCACACTATTTCAGTATCCTAATGACTAAACAGTAAGTAGGGCTTCACAGCAACATGACATCTATATAGATCAGAAATATATACTGTATTTGTCATGAACTCTTTAAAATGCCTTTCAGAGTTCCAAGTTTCTAAAAATAAATCTCAAAATTTGGGCTAAGATTAATGATAAAGAAAATGGTATGAGCCCTGGCCTTCACACAACACAGAGCTCCTCAAGCAGGCGCTGCTCCACGTGGGGTATCAGGTCATCACTAGGCAGATTCATACTCAGTAGCACATGCTTTTGTGCACGTTTCTGTAATCTTTCTGCTAACTGCGAGGTTTGGTGACTTCCTGCACCAGATGGGCCTAAGAGAGTAGAGACAGCAGGTGGTCCGACACGTGACACCATAGCTGCCACTAATCCTCCCATACTGCCCTGCTCTGTCCCTACCCAGGCATATACACTACCTGTTAGGGTCAGCAACTGGTAGTAAATGGTGAGGTCACCATGTTGACTAATGAACTCTCGCAAACTGAGACCTGGTACAAGTTCATCCATTCTTTCTCTTGTTGGGAACTCGACACTCTTACACTGATAATGGCTGAACTGCACCACTTCAATTCTTTACTGTAATGACCACTTCAAGCTTGCTATTTCTAAAATGACCAACACAGTCTGTATTGCAAACCTTTCTTGCTTGTTGGAAGTTACTCAATTCTTAAAGAGGTCAAAGCATTAACCATCACAGTCAGGCCTCTTCACATCAATAGTTCATATTCACATTATTCATTTGTCAGTTTATCATAACATTAAAAATTATTTGCATGCATAATACTTCACTTGGCTTTTTTCCAAAGGCAATTGTACTTTTTTTTTAGTATAGTGAACAACACAGATGTTCTACAGAAGCTAACTCACTCTAAGATTTGCACATTACAAACTACACTCATATAGGCAAAGTATAGGTCTCTTGGTTCTTGTGTTTACTTGTGTTTTACGAAGTGCAGCTTGAATGATATTTGGGAAGTTAATGACTGGAGATAGGAACTTTTGCTACTTTGGGTTTGTTGTGTCTCAGATTTCACAATCAGCTTCCTTGCTTACCTCTGAAATAAATAACATGACATTAATATGTAGTGTAGTAATATTTTATGGCATACAAAACATACGTCAAAACAAATGCAAAATACAGTAATGTAAAAATTATAAGATGCATTAAGGGGGTCGTCTCTCACTACTCAGAATTTTTTATAATTGATTTTGCTTTTTTCTAGTGTTAAACAAAATTTAGTTACACTCTGAGCAATAGATCTTTTAAAATTATATTTCCTTTTTTCAAATTTTATTCAATGTTTTAGTTTTTATTCAAAACAGTCTATTTTTTATTTAAATTATTATTTAGTACTGTACCTGAATTTTTATTCAAAATTGCCTATCATCAATTTTTATTTTTATACAGTATCTAAATTTATTTATAATTGTCTATTTTCAATTTTAATTTTTATTCAATATTTTAATTTTAATTTAAAATTGTCTATCTTCACAATCATTACAAAGTTATGATTGAAACACAACTTATAACAGCCCAATCTTTAATATTAAAGGATAATTATATTCGCCAGATGCCTAACAGCACCTAGAGAAAATGTACATATTTAAGCAAACATTAGGACATATTTATTAGAGAATGTTTCGGTCCTTGATTTTAAGTAATTTTGAAAGTCTGCCTGAAAATGTCCAAAGAACACCCTCCAGGTTCAAATATCCACATGAATGTCTGAAAATGCCCCCAGAACACCCTCCAGGTCCTTAATACCAATGGAAATAATTTACATATTTCATAATTTATTCTTTATGTTTCATTAAAATTTTTAAGACTTGTGTATATGTAAAAAACTGGGTGTTGCAAAACATTATATTAGGGCACATCAAACTGTGGAGATGTCATGTCTGAGGGCAATGTGTGGTGTGAATATAATGTAGAGAATTTGTAGTTTGGAAATTAGGAGGATGTGTGGGATTACCAAAACTATCATCCAAAAGGCTGAGGAAGGGTTGTTGAGGTGGTTTGGACATGTAGAGAGGATAGAACAATATAGAATGACTCTGAGAGTGTATAAATCTGTAGTGGAGGGAAGGAGGGGTAGAGGTCGGCCTAGGAAAGGTTGGAGGGAGGAGGTAAAGGAGGGGCTTGGACTTCCAGCAAGCATGCGTTAGTGTGTTAGATAGGAGCGAATGGAGACAAATGGTTTTTAGGACTTGACATGCTGTTGGAGTGTGAGTGTGAAGGGATTCAGGGGAAACCAGCAGGCCGGACTTAAGTCATGGAGATGGGAAGTACAGTTCCTGCACTCTGAAGGAGGGGTGTTAATGTTACAGTTTTATAACTGTGGTGTAAGTGCATCTCTGGCAAGACAGTAATGGAGTGAATGATGGTGAAAGTTTTTCGTTTTTGGGCCACCCTACCTTGGTGGAAAATGGCTGTGTTAATAAAAATAATAAAATAAACATAACATCAAATTGTAATTTTACTTTATATCCAAAACTGCAAAATTTGACACCCAATTTGAAAGAAATTTTAGTTCTTGGTGATACCCACTAACTTATTTTGTGAAGAATAAAAAGGCACAATACTGTGACTGGAACAATATATATTTGTGTATTATGGTTGTACTTAGTGCTTTATATGAGGCCAACTGTTTTTTTGTTTCTCTTCACTTGAATGACTTATTAGTACCAAAGAATTCTGAAGATAATTTATAAACTGATTTTGTAGAGATTCTCCTAATTTATAGTATGTTATAGAGCAACTAGTATAAAAAAAATGTATTTTGAATTGAGCAATGTTTTGTTTTAAATGCTTTTTGTTGAATTTTTGTATTTTTTCATAAAACTTGAGCACTTTTAGGCATGATTATCAAACAGAATGACACCATAATAATATTTTCTATATTTTTTTTATTTTTGATCCCTCAAGATGATGGAGACGAGCCCCTTAATACTGCAGTATATGTACAGTATTATTCCTTTAAGTACTTAGCTTCCTATGTGTATGCAAACAAACAAACAAACAAACAAAGATCTTGCTGAGTGATTTTTGTAAACTAAAAATGCTAGACAAACTATCATTGTGCTATATTGCAGGGCAGACAACAGTGAGGCTTGGCTTGTAACATTAAACAATACTATTTCTTCAGCAATGCTGTAATACACTATGGCAAACACCATCAATTTCACAACAGTCAAAGAAGTTTCTGTAGAAATGCAATTTTTGTGTGTCCACAGATGACTGTTCAGCAAATTTCATGCTAACTTGTTGATAATATTACCCTCTTTCTTCAGTGGTATATTAAATTAATGTTTGACCAGAAATGTCATTATAATTACCTTTGTGAAATCTACTACACAGCCTTTTATGTATCTAGAAGTTTTCTGAAAAAGAAAAGAAATTAATGAATATCAGCAGGCCTACAAGTAAATAGCATCATGCAGTACTTATTAAAAATAAAAAATAATTTACACAGAAAATATGAACAGAAACATGCAAAACTTCGAGGGACAGGTCAGGAATCTACAGTCAAAAGTGAAATTTTGAGAGGCAAGGCTTCATGCTGCCATCAACTGCCACTAAAACCATCACCATGCAAAATTTCTCAGTGAGAACTCATGCTGTTCTCTCTGCTTTAATCTGGATAAAGTGTTACCTTCATCGCTACTACAGGCACCCTTGCCCTCACTTGGCCTTGCTGCAGAGAGGTCCAGAGCAGCTGCGGCCAGGCTGTTGGAGCTGCCTAGGAGAGATGAGGGGGATGCCTTGAGGGCTGAGGGGGTCTTGGATAATGGGGAGCTAGCAGTAGAAGAAGCTGTCGAGGTGGGCACAGCTGACAGCTGACCAGAGTTCAACAGAGACAGTAGATTTATGTTCATGCCCAGATTACTCAAAGGGCTTGAAGATAAGTGGCTCTGATGATCACTTAAACCAGCATGAGATCCACTGCTGCTAACAGGCACACTGTTACCATTGGCTTGTGAGCTCGCACTCTGGTAAATATTCTTCATTGTTTCTACGTAGTAGCTCCTTGCTGCCTCTGAATACATAGATTTCATCAGGTCTGGGTTGGTCAACATGGTCTGCATAAGGGTTTGATTCATGGCAGCAATCATCAAAGGATTAAGTGGATTCAGGGGATTTAACAAATTCAGCATACTAGCACTAGGATTTTGTTGTTGATGCTTTTGGTGTTGCTCCAGTTGCTTTTGCTGATGCTCCATCTGCTCTCGCTGCTGCTTTTGTAATTTCTCCAACTCTTTCTCCCTAAGAACTTGTAATTCTTTCTCTCTCTGCTGCTGAAGCTCCCTTTCTCGTTCTTTCTCGGCTAACTTACGTTCTTCGTATTCCTTCATATCTTTAATATATCTTTGGCGATCCTGCTCAGAAAGCTCAACAAACTTTTGTTTTTCTACATCACCCATGTTTCTCCACAATTCTCCTGCTCTTTTACCAAAGTCGGCAAACTGTGGAAATTCTTTTCCTTCTTCCATTAGCTTTCGCTTAAAATATGCACAGAAATGCATAAATGGAGTACAAGCCTTCTTGGGCATGTCTGGTTGCCTACGCCTCTTCTTCTTCCGTCTACGTGTAGGTCCAGGAAGTGCAACTGCCTGAGGTGCCAACCGTCCAGCAGATGGACCCTGTAGCAGTGCCTCATACGACCGAATCATACTGCCATTCTGTCTAGCCTGAGCAGCAGCTGCTAGACTCCCCAGGCCCCCCAGACCCCCATGGCACCCCCCAAGACCCCCAGCACTGCCACTTGCCAGCAGCTTGAGCAGGTCCGTCTGTGATGGGGCACCACTCGTCCCATTCTCTCCACTGTAACAGCCAGAATAACAACTAACAACCACTGCACACTTCAGTCTAACAGCTTTTATACTCACCATCTCTAACAGTATCCATACTTGGACTTGACAATAACATCCTTCTACTCTTAAAAATTCTTGAATTATTTTTAAAGCTTATGAACCCCCTAAACAAGAGTCTTTGAACCAGGGATAATTCTCAGCCTCATCCACTCCATACTCACCAATACATGTAGTGTTGTTCAGTGCAGAGGAGTGAATTATATACAAATAGTGCAAAGTACCAAAGATTGTGGAAACATGGAAAATATCATGATGCTAAGCTTATCACAAGCTTGTGCCTACGATGGAAAATATCTCCATTCCTAAACCCTTGCAAAGTACATTGAAATAAGAAGTAAACATGGCAAATTCAAAGCAAGATTAAACATTAATATTGTTTAAAAAAAGCAATCCAACTGACAATAAAATGGAATTGAAAATATGAATTTTATGAGAAATCCTGACCCATCCCCTAGAAATACCTTTTTTGATATGCTGTTAGATTTTTAAACAGCAATGCTCAAAGGGATCAGACTTTAAATATGTAAGATAAACCAGGGAAAATGTTAAGTTATTAGTGGAATCCAAAAAAAAAAAAAAAACATATATGAGCCAAAGAAGCTACAAACCCTTTTTGCAAAAAACACACCGTGCATCAAATGTCAGTAAACAGAGCAATCAAAACATCTGGCCAAAGATGGTAAAATAAACAGCACTGGATAAACCATTTTTTAAGTCAATGCCTATGGCATGAAAGCAATGCACTGCCAGAATTAAAAAGTCTACAATTAATACCAATTCTCAAAATGGTTGACCCAGGCAAAAAAATGGGAAAGACAAGAAATTCCCTTCCATGGTGCAAAAAAAAAAAAGTCAAGTTCACAGAAACTGATCAAGTCAGGTTCTCTCACTCAGCCAATTACATACCAGTATCTCGCAACCTGTTCCTTTGGCACATAAAGAAGAACAAACGCATCAGATAAATGATGGGAAGATCCTAACATTAACTTTCTCAATAACTACACAACACTGAAGAATATTTCTCTTCATTATCAACAATATATTAACATTACATATTTAGTTTTCATTGCTGGTTTTCATCTGTTAATTATATACATGTGTGTTACTAACCTAGGGGAAAAAAAAAGACTAAAACCTTGCCATTTAATAACAGGAATTAAAAATACTCATTAATCACATAATTAAAATGTTATGCATAAGGTTAATAATCCAAGCACAGTATTTATCCTTGGATAACTAGCCTTAGGCAATTTTGTAATCTAGCAAAATTATGAAGATTATCACTATGAGCAAAAACAATATAGTACTGTATTTATGTAAAGAAACACTTACCCATTGACAGCCTTGCCCAGCTTCTCAACAACCAGGTCATCCATGTATGTTCATATGTCAAGGTAGCTGGACCTCATGCACCTGCAACAAAAATATAAATGATGTCACAAATACAATATAAAAATTTACAAATACATATTTATGTCCACAGTACTTATACTGACAACCAAATTAAGCAAATTACTGTATTTTGAACCTGATAATGACAATCATGGCTGGGAAGCATTGCAAGGTCTTACTGCAATAACTGGAAAAACAGGAAATCTCACATAAAACAAAAACAAGAATGGTAATCTGTATATTTTAACCTCCAATTGAGGTCCTTTTTAGCAGAGCATAGAAGCAGCAGACTAACATTCTTCCTCATTTTAGTTCCATGTGGAATTTTCTCTCTCCATGATCAGTGTTTATTACACTTTGTTCCCCTGACACAACTGCAAGTATTTTAGTTTCAATCTGCCACTAATTAACCATAAATCTTTTTCTCATTCGGGTGACTTATCTCACCTATGCTTCTCATGGTACCATGAATATGCTTTACGTACTTTAACTTCAAGCTCCTGATCCCAAAGATTTCAGATGAAATAAGTTGGACTGTATACACCCTTCAAAATCAAAAAAACTTATGCTAGTGCTCAGATTAAACATGAGCTTTCCCACAATTATCAGAAATCACAGTAACTCATCTGACACCTGATTCACTACTAGAACATTTTCGGTTTAATGAGAATCCATCTGTTTGCAAAACATATTGGCTTTATATGCAATTAAAACCTAAATTATTGCAATAACCATATTGTACTAAGAGCACTCTTAAATACATATATATAGACACATGCTGAACTGAATTTTCGTTAGATTATTATTATTATTATAATATTCACCAAAAACACTAAACACATATAGATCATTCTGCATCTACGCTTGTTAAAATTATAGATCACAAAATTCACAGTTATTTTAAGTACAGTAATGCCCAAGTTTATTTAAAGTGCAATAGATTGTACAAGCATGAAATCTAAGTATACTATCTATATTAATTACTTTTCCATCTTGCAAATATATACAGTATAACCATAAGGTATCACAAGAAATTCAACAAACTGCAATACAAAATTATTTATATGATGTAACACAGTAAGAAATATGTTACAATATTAGTTACACGAGCACCACTGGTGCTGTACCATGTGTGGATTAATTAATTATAGTGTTACTGTTTTATTTAACAGGTAAAAATAAAAGAATTTGCCATTTTTTGTAGGTAAGTAGTGTATTAAACAACAGCAATTATGATGTCATTTTTTCATTCTTTATTGCAATTCCTATATTACGTTTCCCTGATAGCAATGACTAACTTTTCTGTGCTAGCAGCTAAATGACAATAAAACAGAAAGAGCATTTTAATTAATGCATTAATCACTGTTGAAAGATCAGTGGAAGTTTAAAACACTTTTAAGCAGCTACAGACAGGTTACAAACAAAATGACTAAAATTATAATTGTTTACTATATGTCAAGCCATATAAACCTTGCTATGAGTTGGTATTATACTGATCTCAATTCATCCCCACTTTCAATTAAATAGCTTGATGATTAAAGACAAGGGGAAACAAAGACAAGGGATGATTAAGAGAGATTTTCCTAAACAATTAACTATTCCAACAGTGAAAGACATGTTCTCATTTCAATTTCTTTTATGCCATGGCAGATCTGTGAAGGTTACTTCGTTTTCGTGATTTGCATACTTCTCTGTGTTTCCTCAAAGCCAATGTAATTTTAGAGTATGTTATTCATTTCAAACCTGTATGAATTTTTTAAATAATCATTTAATAATTTAAATTCCATGGATTCTGAGGTCATTGTTGTCAACTAAAATGTTCTTGGTACTGCCACACCGTTCAAGGTATTTTAGTACGGTATATCTCAGTCAAATAATTATTCCTTTGTGCAACAAAGCTGTGGATTGATATTCATGAGACAATGAAAAAATGAGGCACTGTAATATGAAATGGATTACAGTAAGTACAGTATTTTTGTTTGTAAAGCTGAGCTTTTTTTACTGTGTGTAAAAAATTTTCAAATAAATTTTTCCCAGTCAAATTCCATTGCTACACTAATACAAGAAGTAAATGATCTCTACATATTTGCATGCATTTTAATACAGTATCATGAATCTATATTGAAGCACTTAACATGAAATACATTAATAACAATACTATATACATATAGTACACAATAATATTACAATCTTTGTTTCATAATGCTGCAACAATTATCTTGCTACATACTACTGATAGGCAATGCTTATCACTACTTTTAACTGTAAGGGAATATACCAGTGAAAGGGATGCCTTCAGAAGAAATAAATTATTGTATAATACTGCACTTCTGAATGTGAAAAGGGTTGCAGACATATTGAACGATCATATTTAGGAAAAAATGTGATTTAAAAACTATTTAAGCAACAGATTTAACAGTATCTCCACCTACACAACATAATGAACTGTGTAATGAAACATGTGAGAAAGTGAGAGAGAGACAGTGGTAATATATAACAACAGAGATTTCACTCTGGAAACAGTTGGTTTCTTTTATACATCCTATCCCCCCCAACCACTCCACAGGACAAAGCATCACATAATTGCTCATTCAATCTCTGATGCTTACATCCTGTGAAAGCTGCTCCTAATCGTTATATTACATACCCTGGTAATTATATTTTATACAATATTAAAATAAACTGAGTAATTTTACTGTACAGTACATGTGAAACAAAGTCTAAAGAACTAGTCATAAATACAAATTGTATGCTCATTGTATAATAAATTATACATAAAACTGGAAACAGTTAATAAACATCTGTAAACACATTTTAAATGTAAAAGTCATTTGAAAAGAGGGATGTAACTAAATAAGCAACACATCATCAGCATCAGGGCCCCATCCACCACCCCTACTTCACAACCGCAGCCCAAATGAAAGACCCACAAGTGGAGTTGACAATAGAAAGCATCAGTCTCCCCTGCTTAACACCCTACCCTCAGTCCCCCCAGCCCCACAACCCCTTCTGCCACCCCTCGCCACTTCTGCCTCCCTTCCTCTCTTCCCCACAGTGCTCGGTCCTCTCATCCCCCCACCCCACTTTTTTGTGTAGAGAAACAAAGACAGCAAGCTCAGACGTCCCCGACTCTGAGCCTGCAATATTGATCACTCTGATGCTTAATCACACGCTGCATGGGTACGGAGCGAGGGCTTGCAGACTCACTGAACGCTTGGCTGCACACATATTGCGATTATGGCAATTAGGATTACTGTATAAAAATATTGACAGTACTGTACTTTAGAAAATTAAGATAGCTTGACAAATTGCTTAAAGGTACAGTACTTTTATTTAATGTAGTGTTCTACTTTGCCTTAAAGATGAAATGATGTTAGCTATCACACACACAATTATAATTATTTTAACTGATAAAAAATCATCAATCACGAAGTCTATACTTGACTTTGTTTAAAGCTTTCAATGACAAAGTAACATAGCAACCTGGCCATCAAGGTTCCTAAGCAACAACATCACTAGCCTTTTCCTCAATTAAGCTTAGCAAATCTGTTTCAACTGACAAAATTTTAGATGCTGGCTAACCATATACTATTCCACTATATACTTTAAAGCAAATAACCTCAAATTTAAGATAGATTTCACAAGTGGACATTCCTATAAATAATTTAGAAAAAAGTATCTGTTCTAGATATAAATATATACTTGAATAGCTATTATGTATCACATACTGCATATATTTTCCTCCTGGAAAAGATTTTGAAAAATATAAATTAAAAGACAAAACGGTTTATTTGTCCTATGTACAGTACACTAAACCTATGAAGTGCAGGTTGATATATATTATTATTAAGCCAAGTCAGAAGCATGTTTATGCTGTACTGACATGTGATAGAAATTAAAAGTACAGGAAGTACTGTATTCAAGTTTTGAATGACTTTCAGAAATCTTAATTCTTATTATTACTATATTTTGTTGAAAATAAGAAAAAGTTTTGGAGTGAGATTAACAAGTTAAGGAAGCCTAGAGAACAAATGGATTTGTCAGTTAAAAATAGGAGAGGAGAGTTATTAAATGGAGAGTTAGAGGTATTGGGAAGATGGAGGGAATATTTTGAGGAATTGTTAAATGTTGATGAAGATAGGGAAGCTGTGATTTCATGTATAAGGCAAGGAGGAATAACATCTTGTAGGAGTGAGGAAGAGCCAGTTGTAAGTGTGGGGGAAGTTCGTGAGGCAGTAGGTAAAATGAAAGGGGGTAAGGCAGCCGGGATTGATGGGATAAAGATAGAAATGTTAAAAGCAGGTGGGGATATAGTTTTGGAGTGGTGCAATTATTTAATAAATGTATGGAAGAGGGTAAGGTACCTAGGGATTGGCAGAGAGCATGCATAGTTCCTTTGTATAAAGGCAAAGGGGACAAAAGAGAGTGCAAAAATTATAGGGGGATAAGTCTGTTGAGTATACCTGGTAAAGTGTATGGCAGAGTTATTATTGAAAGAAGTAAGACAGAGAATAGGATAGCAGATGAACAAGGAGGCTTTAGGAAAGGTAGGGGGTGTGTGGACCAGGTGTTTACAGTGAAACATACAAGTGAACAGTATTTAGATAAGGCTAAAGAGGTTTTTGTGGCATTTATGGATTTGGAAAAGGCATATGACAGGGTGGATAGGGGGGCAATGTGACAGATGTTGCAGGTGTATGGTGTAGGAGGTAGGTTACTGAAAGCAGTGAAGAGTTTTCACGAGGATAGTGAGGCTCAAGTTAGAGTATGTAGGAAAGAGGGAGATTATTTCCCAGTAAAAGTAGGCCTTAGACAAGGATGTGTGATGTCACCGTGGTTGTTTAATATATTTATAGATGGGATTGTAAGAGAAGTAAATGTGAGGGTCTTGGCAAGAGGCGTGGAGTTAAAAGATAAAGAATCACACATCAAGTGGGAGTTGTCACAGTTGCTCTTTGCTGATGACACTGTGGTCTTGGGAGATTCTGAAGAGAAGTTGCAGAGGTTGGTGGATAAATTTG